AATTATAAAAACATTCAGAAGGGAATTATGAATCCATGCCAATCAATAATTTTAAAACATAACTCAGTGTGTGCCAAAGAATCAGGGAAACTCAAAGTAAGGAAGGATAACTGACCCATCTGGTCCTGTGGACCAGATTTTAACAATTATGGAATCAGGAATAGTACCACATACATGGCAAAGTATAAAATACTCCATTTTTTCCTGTGGAAATGGTATTTATAAGGTAAACATATCAGACAGTCTGACCAATATCCTGTAGTGTTTTACAAGAAATTTTGAAGGAAAGAACTGTAGAGTAATATGACATGTTAATAACTTTTTTTCCCCTGAGACTTAGTATTTTTATTTCATAACAGAAAGAAATATTGACCTGCTTTGGTGACAGCAAAACCAAAACCAGCTATCATGCAATTAGTGGCATGAAAAGATTCAGAACTATGTTAATTTCCATTTAAAATACCTTCTTAAAAGGGTTGTTACTACTGGAAAAATTGGAAAACACTGTCAGTATGGAAGCTCAAGGAGGATGGCCCTGACTTGAATGACCCTGAAGCCCAAAACATTGAAAACACATTACAGTTTATTAGCATGAAGCCCAACAATGAAGTGAGAATTTCCACTACAAGCTGCACGATTATTAACTGCGAACAAAGCAGGAGTCCTCCTGTGAACCTCTAGTCCTTGAATAAGTGTTGTGTAGATGAAAAAATCATGGAAATATAACTGAGGTTGAAGCAATGATATTTCATTTAACATACTCTATACAACATAAATTACTGATATGAATGACAATTATTCACATCTTCTGTCTTCATTTTGCTCAAACTCTTCCAACATCTCTTCCTTGGGTCTTTTTTCTTCTGATAGCTTAGCAGAATTACAGTCAATTAGAAGGTCACCAACAACAAGAGTGCTGGGAGCAGCATGCTGCAAGGAAGACTCAGTACTGTCTGAACCCATTTTTGTTAGTGATCTAGGCACAAAAGACAGGAGAGAGGCTTGGGAATATTTTTCAAGTGCCCATGCAATGCTAGAACCATCCTCCAGTAGCTCCACAGTTCCTTCCTGTAAAATTTTCCAAACAGGGCTTTTCAGCATCCCAGACATGTCCTGAGTTTGGAACAACTGTTTCATTTTAGGAATCCCACACCATAAGAAACTAAGTGCAACTGGTGAAATGTGACACGGCTCATCACCACATCTCCCCACCAGCACATGAATAAAGCTGCAGAAAAGTAAATGGCATTATTTTGCTTACTTGTCAAACACAAGGCTTAAAGCTGTCATGGGGAAGAGGGAGAATGCTCTGCACCCAGTTAGCACACAGCTGTTTACACTGGAACCCAGTGCTGTTGACCCAGGACCACCAGAGCAGTGGCACCCCACTGTATCCCAGGAAAACATCCTAGGAAGCCTGGAGGTGCTAGTGGAAGGTGGGGAAATGTACCTAATGCAGATACACCCAGTGCAGGCAACACTGCCTCCAGCCCACACTGGATTTTCAGTGAGTGCTGAAACTACAGAGGTGCAAATGCCCCAAGACACAGGGACTGATTACTGCTAGCCTTGCCTGAGCCCTCTCCTCCCACAGCAAGGCACACAGATTGTTTCAATCTCCAAAGAACACAAGGCCTCTTTTCTTCTGGGGCAAGCAACAAGAGAGGCCTTTTGGCAACTCTTATCTGGCAGAGTATACACCACACTTCACCCACTCATCCTGACCAAGTGGAGGCAAACCAAAACAGTTCTACAAGTCCTTCCCCACCCCTGGGATTTCTGCACTGTGGAGTTTGCTTCAGAACCTGATCTCTCCCCCTGCGTATCTCACTGGAGATGACTCCAAAAAAATGGTCTCTCCCCTGCCTGAACACCTTTCTTTTGAAGGCGTAAAAAAGAGGCTCAGAGGTCACTCTCAGGGACATAGAGCACAGAGGGGGTACACAAGCTGCTTCCAACCTGTTCACTCCCCGTCGTCACGGTACTGTCCCTCTCCCTCCCTGCCTCTAAAACCCCAGCCGGTGGCCAGCCCAGGCAGTCCCGCTGCTCTCCCCTTACCTGTTGCAGCCCTTAGCCCTGCTGCAGCCAGGGCTCTCCAGCCCTTGCCGGTCTCCAGCTCCAGCTCCCAGGAAGGATGCGGGCAGTGAGGCGGCCACGGCGCTCCCTGCCAGGGGCGGCACTGCCGCTTCTGGGCGAGTTGCCCCCCCTGACCCCGGGCAGGGCTCAGCTCTCCCCGCCCGGCAGCGGCTCTGCCTCCGAGCCGCGCAGCCGCCGGCGGGGCTGGAGGGAAGCGCCTGCCCGGCCATGCACGAAGCCCTGCCTCCGCTGGCTCCTCGGGAACGGCCGCTTCCAAACGAACTTATTGGGCTTCCAGCTGTACCTAAGGGGCAGACGAAGGGAAATTATGTTTTGCAATGTCGACTGTGCATTAACTATTCCCAGAGCTAACTGCATTTGACTTGCTCTTCTGTTGGACCAAACTCTCCGTCTCTTGCTGGAGTCATTAATCTGTACATTCGCATCGTTTGTGCATAAGAGAGTTGGTTTGTTTCTCCCTTTCCACCCCCTCGCCCCCAACATGCACTCCCTAAAAACCCAACAATTAAAAATGTGGATTTTGCCTTTAATTCCCCTACATTGTGTAATTATATTCACATTAGAAATCAATCAACACTGGTCATTACCATTAGTGATATGCTCATAAACCAAACACTAGACATGCTAATGAACTGAATAAAACATAATTTCTTGTTGTGTAAACTGATGCTCAACGCTAATCAGCAATAAATTCAATCAGACATTACTTACATCAACTGAAAACACATTAAAGCCGAGGACGGAGCACCGGCTGCTCATTTCTGAGGGCAGCGCGGCCCCGTGCCCTGAGCAGCCCACGGCCGCGGGGGTTGGGGACAAGGCCGCCTTAGCCCCGAGGGGACACGGCCTCTCTGCGACGGACCCTTCTGTGGGGGGCCGTTGCTCAGGGGTCGTGGCGGGGGCACCGAGCAAAGCCTGTCCCTCGTCTGTCCCCAGCTCCGCGCAGCCCGGACGGCGGTGACCGCAGCCAGACACCGGGGCCTGTCTGCCTCCAACACTTAAATCAGCACCTGTGTCCAATTCCTTCGGCGTGGTCACTCCCTCAGAGCCCGTTCTCCTTCTAGAAACCGCCCGCGGCCCTGAGGGTCGCACGGCCCAGCATTGCCCCAGCAGGAAAATAGCGTTGCCTCACCCGCCCGGGTGCGGGCGGTTTCCAGGAGGAAAACGGGGTCCGAGGGGATGCAACCAAACGCCCATTTGACATTTCCCTGCCACAAACACGGGGTCAAAGCACCAGCGATGGCTGCAGGCGCGGGGACGACCGGCCGGCCCGGCGGTGCCCCGCGCCCTGCCCGCCCCGTCGGAGAGAAGGCTCCCCCGCCGCTCGATCGAGGGGCAGCTTCATGACCTTCCTCTCCCGGGGCCGCCCCTGACCGCCGGGGTCACAGGGATGGCAGAAAGGGGCAGTTTTTAAACACAGGCCGTTTGCTGAAATAAATGACCGGGGAGCAGCCCCGCCGCCACCCGAACGTACCCCATGCGCTTCCCGACGCCGCAGTCGGGGGAGCTCCAGGTGAGGCCGGGACGGGGAGGCGGCGGCATCCTCCCGCCCCCGCGGAGAGACGGGGCGGGAGCGAAGTCCCGGTCCCAGGGCACTGGCAGGGCTCCCCGGCCTGGCGGGGCGGCCGAGTGACACGGAGGCTTCGGGGTGGCGGCTTTACCTCCCCAGCAAGGACGCTGTAACTCACGCCCCTCCCCGGGGCCTCCGGCGGCCCCGAGGTGCGGGGGGCTCGCTGAGCGCGGTGGGACGGGGGGGCTCGCTGCGCGGGGGCGCAGCAGACGAGTCTGTTTCAAGCAGCAACGGCGGCGTTTTGTAACAGCCGCAGAGCAGCGATTTGCTGCGATTGGAGTAATGTAATTTCCAGCTGCACAATATTAATGAGACGCTCGGAACCAGGGGAAAACTTTCAGCGGAAGGTGGCGGGTTTATTTGCTTCGCGTTAAGGGAGATGAGGGAAAAAGAACTAGGGGGAGGAAGACAAAAGACAAGCATCAGCATCATCAGCCCTATCACCTGCGGCTATCGCCGGGGGTCCACCTGGGCGGGCCCGGGCGGGAGCTGGCTCTGGCGCGGTGAGGGCACAAGGCCGCCGTCCTTTCTCTTACAACCCACTAATTGTTGTTTCGGGGCCCCCCCCTCCCACTTTTTTTTTTTTTTTTTCCTACTTTGTTCACTCGCCGCGGTCACGGGAGGCAGGAGCGGCTCTGCTTGCCTTGACCATACCTTTCGCTTGCGCGGGGGGCGCGAAGGGGGCGCGGCTCTGACAGCCGGGCGGGTGGGAGCGGTGAGAGCCTTCAGGGGAGAGTAATGAAGAGACTCGCACTGAGAGAGAGGAGCGTGCGGCCGGAGAATGAGACGTGTGGGTTGTCTTGGGCAGCTTGTAACTCCAGGTGAACACAGCCCAGCTGCTTTCCGTCATTATTCCTTCTTCACAAATCTCCGTTGTTCCCTCGCACGGCTCCTGGCCAGCGGCGAGGCCGAGGGGGCTGAGGAGGGCCGGGCCGCGACTCCACCTCTCCTGCGAGGCGCGAATCGCAACATGGGCCAGGCAACCGCGGGGCCAGAGTGAGTTTTGGCCCCCGCACCCCTGGGCGACAGAGCAGCAGGAGCTGAGAGGAGGCTGGTGTGTTCCTCTTGGAGTCCACGGGCCGCGGCCGTCCCCGGCTGCGGCTGAGCGCGGCCGACCCCTCTCCCCGCCGCCGCCCCTCCGCGGAGCGCGCTCCCGCCCGCCCCGCCGGTGTGTTTCCAGGGCAGAACCTGTGAATAAAGCGAGAAGCGTTGCTTATTGTGCTCGTATTAATCCCCCCCGCTGCTTGGAGCTAATTAAATTCCTCCCCGGGAGCCGGGGGTTCGCGCGGGTCCGCCAGTGCCGCAGCCGGGGCGCCACGCACACAGCCCGGGGGTCGTTTCACCGGTTTATTTCACATTAAAGTTTAGATACAATCGAAATCCTCGTACGCACCTTTTAATAAAAGTAGTAATCTCTTCGAGTACTGCAAAATTATAGCATTTACATCTTTAAAAGACGGTAAACAAATAATACTAGCGAATCAATAGTACCAGCATCCAGTGCACATGGTCGGTTGGTTTTAGGCGGCCGTATAAAATGCGATCTGGTTTATAGAATATAATACAGATAAATGCTATAAATAAGTGGATATCAGAGTCGGCGACCAACTTCCTATAGACAAGTCCGCTCGGGCTGCCGGCACCGCCCGCGGGGCTTGCGGGACCCGCGCGGGGGGGCTGCGGGGCGGAGGAGTGCGGGGGGGTGGCCCACCCGATCCGGTCCCAGCACTGCAGCCCCGGGACCGCACCGAGCCTCCTCCCCCCCACCTACCTGCATTGAGAAACCTTATTTCTGGTTAAGAAAAATAAAAGTCCCATTTAAACTTTATTGAATTAAAGCAAAAATTAATTTCCGATATTCACACATATATTACAGAGTAATAGTAAAAGTTCAATATACTTCCTGGCGTTTGGTTGGGCCACATTGTACAAGAGCAAAACAAGCATCAAAACATTTAGCAGCCTTAAATTTCACAATCACTCAGAATTACATAGAAATATTGAAATACTCTAGTCAGCCTTGGCTGTGAATAGTTCTTCATGTAGAAATTTTTCCTTTTGCCAGCCAGTACACAGCAAGAATTGCATTTTCCCTTCTATCATGGCATCCATGTATTCAAAAAATACTTTGCTTTTTTTTTTTTAAAAGTTAAACTCAGAGAAAGAGTCAAGATTAACATGTTTTAAAAACAAAACTACAAAATATGCTGTAGAGAACAATGAAAATATCTAAAGTCTACTTGTGTGAGGCAGAAGCCATGGGGGAACAATGGCAGATTACACCAGTGACACAGAGATGGGAACTAATTTTGTGGGAGGAGAGAGAAGAATATAAATGGGGTTTTGATCAATTATAGTGTCTCCCGCCTGTTGGCTGCAACACAACAAAAATAAGTAGTAATTCTTCAAAGCAGATGTACACAAACCTAAGCAGGATTTAGCTTCTTTAATATCTGAATGTAAAAAGTCTGCTGTCCATGACTCTTTAAACCCAGCTACGACTTAGGAATTTGTAAGAGATCTCTCCCTTTTCTTGGATGAGAAGTGATTTAAAGCGGGAACACTAGAAATCCAGAGAATGTTGAATACTTCCAGCCTCCCATCAAGTTTCCTCTCTCCAGTTTTAGATAAGCTCTGTCTCCTTTCTCCATCTGAATCAGGACTCCATTGCTAGCAGCTTCTCGGGTCACATCTTGGTCCCCTGCAAAGGCAGAAATCACTGGCCACCCATTTAGCATCAAACTCACCTAAAGAGCAAGATAAAACAAAGCCCTCTGTCAATTAAAGTCAGACAACGACACCGCCGGGACTCGCCTAGCAGGAGAGATGCTTAGTTAAGAAAAGGCCTCTTTTGACAGCTAAAACTCCAGTCCCATAAAAAAGAAATACCAATCTGAACCCAGCTAAGGTATGTACTCTAAAGGAAGAAGTCTTTCACCGCTGTTTTAGACCGACAACCACATCAAAACACCCGGTGCATATAAAGCAGGACATTGATCCTATTTTGGAGAATTTCAATAGGGTGCCTGTGTTTTCAGGCTATGAAAAGAGGTCTGCTCCTACTTATTGAAAGATGGCTTTATGCGAAACCTCAGAGACAGCGAGGAGCAGAGCCACAGCCGCCGGAGTCAGCGCCTTTGAAGTGTATTCAAGAGGTAGTTTTCCTTTGTTAGGCAGCAAAGACAATATGCTACAACACAGTCAATAAGCTCTGCTCAGCTCGCATTAATGATCCCGGGACTGCATACCCCACATTAATAATACACTACCTGCCGAATTTAGAGGTGTGAAGCCACTTACACCAGAACAGTGCTATATAGCAGCACATTCACCTTTGCAATGTGCATTGCTATGCAGTCATTCCTGTCTGGGTTATGCTACCTGCATTCAGGCCGGTCACTTATTAACCCTGCCTAGAGGTGTGTATGCATCGAACCACATACAAAAGGCACGTATAGGGTAGCTGCATACACATGCACAGATTCATTGCATCCATGCCATAGGCACCTCTGTGAACCCCAAATCCCTATGAAACCTTCTGCCACCAGAGAGGGAGTGTGGAGCCCACTGGGGGCCGCGGTTCCCACAGGCTCTGTTCAGGGATGCTCCTGCCGGCGCTCCGCGGCACAGGGCAGCCCGCGGGCCTGTGCAGGATGGGAGGGGGCGGCAGGCAGCCGTCGGGCGATCACTTCCCGTCCCGGGATAGCTCATGCGGGCAGGGACCGCGTGGAGGCCCCATCGGGGCCCCATCCGATGGGGCTCCGCGGCCCTTTGGGCACCATCCCCTCGGACGGTGGGGACGCCGCAGGTCTGCGCTCCCGCGGCGGTGCCCGCCCCGTTGCCCGCACGGCCCCGGCCCCGCCGGGCCGCGGACCCGTCCGCTCCCTCCCGAGGTGCCCGCGGAGCCAGGTGACGGCGCTCGGGGCTGACCTGGATGGTTTGCCTGTTGTACACTTTCACCACGTGAAAATTGAAACTGTAAATCCCTTTCCTGGGCGCGATGAAAGTGCTCCGTTCTGAGTCGAAGTTGCTGCCGATATTCACTAGTACCTGGAAGGGAAGGGCACCGTCAGCACCAACGCGGGGCCACCGCCGTCCAGTCCCGCTGCCCCGCGGCCGCCCCTGGCGCCCCCCCTCCCGCGGGCAGGGCCCCGCGGGGCGGCGCGTCCCCGGCCCGGCCCCGCCGCCTTCCCCGGCAACTTCTCCCGCGGCGCGGCGCCCGGAGCCCCCCGCGCCCTTCCCACCTGGTCGAAGTAGATGATCATGGTGCGGTTGCTCATCTCGGAGGGCTCGTGGTTGGTGCTGCGGATGGCGGAGAAGGCGACCTTGGCGCTGCCGGAGCGCACGGAGATGCCGAGCGCCGTGCCGGTGGGATCGGAGGTGGGGTTGGAGTCGCACACCACGAGGCACTTGCCCTCCAGCACGATGGGCTCCGTCTCGTTCTGCCCGCACGCCACCCACGCCGCGCCCAGCAGCAGCCCCAGCCCCAGCCCCAGCCCCGGGCCCCGCATGGCGCCGCGCTCCCTTCGCTCCGCGCCGCTCCGCGCCGCGCCGGGCGGCACGTCCAGGCTCCGCTCCGCTCGCTCCCTTTGCCCCGCCGCGCTCAGAGCGGGGCCGGGCGCGCCCCGCCGGCTGGGAAGCGGCCGCGAGCAGGCACGGGAGCGCCGGCACACATAGCGCGGCGCGGAAGCGCTGCGGGTGCGGGAGCGGGACCGGGCGGAGCGGAGCCGCCCGCCGCGCCGCGCGGGGCTGAGGGAGGCGGCGGGAGGCGGCGGCGCTGCCGGGGCTGCCGGCGAGCACAAAGACGGCGCGGGGCGCGGCCCCGCCTCCCCACCGGCCCCGCGCTCGCGTCAGCGCCCCGCGCCCGCCCCCGCCGCGCCCGCCGCCGCCAATGGCCGCGCGGTCCGCCCGCCGCCGCCCGGCGCCGCCGCTTTTGTGGGGCGGCGCGGCCGCGGGCGCGGGAGCAGGTGCCCGGCAGCCGCCCGCACCGCACCGCACCGCACCGCACCGCACCGCACCGCACCGCACCGCACCGCGCAGCGCAGCCCCGCACCGCGCAGCCCTCACCGCGCCGCGCAGGTAGGAGCGCCGGGGAGCGGCGGGGCGGGGGGCGCGGGACTCGGGAACTCCCGCGGAGCAGCTCGGCGTGGACCGGGAGTGTCAGGCAAAGGTTTCCGCGGTGCTCCCGGGCGAGGCGGGCTGGAAGGGAGCGCGTTGCTGCGCGGGGCAGAGGCCTGCCGCAATCCTCGAGCAGCCACAGCATCACCCGAGCCGAGCCCGCGCCCGCCCCGCCGGAGAGCGCACCGAGGGATGGGACGCCACGGGTCCCCTTCCCGGGGTGTCCAGGCTCCGCTGTCTCCTTCAGCCGTCTCGTTCGCATCCCGGGGAGGAACAGATCGCAAGGCTTCCCGAGAAAAAAAAACTCTTAACAGCGTCGAGAGCCTTTCCTGGCCGGCAGAGCATCCCGCTGTTAGGGAAAGTCACTGCGTGCCCTGCCCACGGATGGGTCCAGCCCGGAGCGCGGTTTTAGGGCTGTCGTTGTTTCCTAAAGTGCAAAGTTTGCTTTGTCTCGGTGGACATCTGACCAGTGCTCGTTCTGGATGTGTCAAAAAAATCATTACCCGGGATTGTAAATGAAGAAATTTACCGATGAACCATTAGAAAGAAACGACTGGAACAAAGTAATTTTCTAACTGGCAGATCTGTTTCTAAAGTTAAAACTTATATTCAGAGATAAAAACTTACATGGAGTTTGTAGCATCCTCTCTGGGAAACTGAATATCATCCAAAACGGGGCTTCTGTGCAAATCATTATGAATTTTGGTAACGACTTTAGTTTATTTTACTGTGCTGTTCGACAGTGTGGTTCATAAGTTTTTACCTGGGAAATCGATCTCTCCCTCTGACAACTGTTTTAAATAAAACTTTCTTCGTATTACTGCCCTGCTAAGTTAAATGTACGACTGTAAAGTTGCTCAGAGTGTCTGCGAAGTATCCGAGTTTGCCCGTGGGTTGGTACTGGCTGGCTCTGAGGGGACGGGATGTAGCGGTAACCAATGGCATCAGGAGCCTCCTCAGGGAGGATCAAAGTACCACGCACTTACTTTGGACATTCAGCAGTGAAGCGCTCTGGAAACCAAATTAGTGGCAAAGTGATTATAGGGGAAGGACGGTGGTCAGAAAGGAGATGGGGAGATAATAAAATAGAAACAAAAACTCTCCTGGGAAATAGAAAATGAGATAAAAGTGAGTGGGTGGAGCCACTTCATATTTTACTTCAAGATATAAGCTTAAGATTTGCAATGTATTAGTACTGTTGACGATCTTAACTGACTTCAAAGTCAGAATCAGAAACTTTAAAATAATATTTCTAAGGGGCTAAAGCAAATAAAAATCAGCAGAAATGAGCATTTTGCATCCTTGTCAGAAGGATGAAATGACAAGGGGGAATGGAAACTGAAGGAGTAAAACTCAGCTCTTTTAATTTTTTTTGAGAACTTGACTCAAAAAAACCCATATATGTTTTTTCAACATACATTACTCTTTCTTATGTAAAAAATACTCACACATTTCTCTTGAAAGACCCTTCTTATGCATGACAGAATTCAATTCTGTTGTGCTGTAGAGCTCTTTATTTTTAGCTTGTGGATTTGAATCCAGGAGAGTTTCCCCTCCTGAGCTGGAAGTTGCTTGCTAATTAGTGGTGACCCCACTGGCAGGAGGCTGGGTGGGCCTTCCACCCCCAACTGCCTTGACCACTTTGAGGGCTTGATGGACAGAATTACCAGAAAGAACGAGAACAGGGGGGGCTGGAAAAATGAACAAATCGCTTTACCAGGAGCCCTATTGCTCATACAGAAGGTGCCAGGCAGGCAAATGGGACATGTAAAGATTCCTTTGCCAGACACCCTCCTTGCCACCGGCTATCAGTGTTGCACACTTGACTGGTACTGTAGCACCCAGCTTCTGCAGTTCTGGCTGGAATAAAGTAACACCTGCCATGCAAATGAGACATGGCTTCATTAAATGTCACATGCAGCACTAGGCAGTTGTGTTGATTCTCCTTGTATTGACAACAGTCTCTGACTCGTACTGGGAACAAAGAAGAGAGGCTCAGCAGGAGGATGTAGAGACTGATATATAAGAACATTAGTGATGTGTGGCAGAGAGCTTCCAAGCTAGGAGTGGAGATCTGTGAAATCAGATGTTTACACAGGGCCAGGAATTATGTTACCCATCTAATTACAAACTGCCTTGTTAATCAGTGTCATTGAGATACAAAAGGGCAATTGTCATTCAGATACAATGGAAATGGTGTCAAGGTATTAACAGACTAATGGGTATTGTAAATGTTAGACTGAAACTAAGGTATTTGTCAAGCAGAGTTCTTTGATGTTTACTTTTAAGAAAAAACTCCTATGAATATGAAGAAAATATGTGAACTGTGCATTGTGTGGTAACTAGCTATGACCTCAGTGTTGGCAGACTGACCACAGACTGTTCGTTTGTAGAACTCCCCTAATGTTTCATCCAAAGAAAACAAACAAACAAACAACTTGGAAATAATCTGAAGGGAAGAACATAATTGAATCATCCTCATTAAGTTTCTGAAGAAACACTTCAGGACTGGTTACTGTCCTGCTCAGATCACAAGAGGGTTGCTCATTTTGTTCCAGAAAAAAAATTGTGGAGAGGCAGAAGTAAGTCCAATGCTCAGAGGTACTGAGCTGTTATCTGTAGAAACCAAAATATAGTTTAGCCACAAAGGAGTTTAAATAAGGAGCAGCAGCAGCATTACCTGCACTCCATTACACTATCAGTGAGCCTTAATCCTGTTTTAGGAAAATCATCCTTAGAAACTCAATCTCACTAGACATTTAACTTCAGCTTCACTTATGAAGAAAGCCTCTAAGGGGGAAGGCATAAGCTTCTCCAAAAACGAGTACAGAGAAATCTACTGGAAACCTTTATTTTTCCTTTGAGAGAATAATTTAGTAAAAGTTTAGCTAGCTGTGTATAAAATCACCTTTTCACTGACTACTTGCCTTTTGATTTAATCCTCCTTGAGTAAGAAATGCAAGGTCTGTCCCAAAACTGGATAACTTATATGAAATTCAGTTTGTTCACAGTTCTGAAAATGCAGTTTGTTCACTGCTATATTAGTTTATAAAGTATAAACAGCAAAAAGTAATTCAGGGATTTATATATGCCAACATAAACTTAAGATACTTGTCTTCCCAAGCATCTGCTGAGATTCCGTACAAAGTCCGAAGATGAGTGAAAATGAGATTTAGAGCAAAACAGCTCTTGCTGATCCACACTGTGGCCTATCTACAGCCATCTGTTTTGCTGTTTAAGAGAGGTTTGCATGTATTTATGGTGATTTGTTTATGGTGTCACCTTCAGCTTCCACAGCAAGCAGTTAAGGTATCTCAAAGAGCAGGCTGAGTTCACTGAGAGAGCGCACAGCAGGAGCAGATGAACTGCTAGGGTGCCATCCAGCAGAAATTATCTGCAATGTTCCACACCCTGTAGAATGACAAAGGCCAGAGCCTTGCTGTGCCACGTGCCTGCCAGCGCAGGTCATACTCAGCAGACAAAAGACAGAAAATGGCACAGACGGGCTGGTTTGGCTGCCAGGGGAGAACACCAGCAGCCAAGGGAATTCTCTCATGATTGCTTGTGCTTGCAGGAGAAAGAGGGCATTGCTGAGGGTAAAACCCACCAGTAGATGGACAACTAGACAGTGCATATGCTTTCCAAGGTGTGCACCTGACATTAACTGCCGGGTGAGCGTTTGCCTGTACTCATATCTAAATGTTCTGTAATTTTATTTGATCCAATGAAACCAGATTGCTTCTCAACATTAATCATATACTCCTTCCTACAGAAAAAGAGTTCTAATTTTTACTTTCAGATCTCACTTCAGACTAGAGAATATCAAACAAAATAAGCTTAGTGTTTTCCCTGTGTTTTGAAATGTACAAAAAGATTGTGATAAAATGTTCTAATAAAAATTCAGGTTTTGCAGTTCAAAATAGTGGCAAACCCAAGTATCAAGTGTGGAAATTTTTGGTGTGTACAGATAGTTGCAAACTGAGGGTCGAAGGGGAAACAGTTACAAAATCTTAACCAAAGTGTGGATTGCAGCAGTAAATTAATATCAGATTATCTACCTTAAGTGATCCTTGGGCTACACAGTTATTTGGGTTTGTATGGTTTGAAGAATAACAAAATTATTAAGCTTATTAGGATAGTATGGATAAATGTCCTCTGCTGCATTTTACTGACTGTCTGCAACACAGTATTTGACTTCTGATCTCCCATATGTATTCCATAGGGCAAATGTAAAACTGGGAAAGAATATTAGCTCACTGCTAAAGACATTTGAAAACACCATCCTTGAGACAATTGTTAAACTTTCTGGCTTATACAACCATAATTGTTCATGTGTAGTATAGCACTCTCAATCTTTTTTTTTTTTTTTTTAAAGTAACATTGGATTTCAGTCTTACCTTGAGATGTCTGTTTTACAGCTGTATTTACTGATGACATGAGGTGATTTATTACTTGCATGGGATATCAGCAGATTTTTCTTTCAGGTACAAAAAATTCCTAAGTGAGCGATGATGCCAAGGTCAGGAGCTTGATTTGTTTTTCTTGTCACAGACTTCTGTCAAAACAAATGCATTGTTACAAATGAATAACTCAAACTGGAAATTAGTTCCCATTCAGATAGGTAATTATATTTTAACAGGGCAAAATCCCAACCCAAGCTGCCAGAGAACACTCAGCTGAAGCCAGCATGGACTGGAACAGCGTGTGTGCTCACTGTAATTGTAAATGGGGCCACCTCGGTCATGCTGCCTCTTCAAACTTAAAAGAATTAAGACCAAAGCTGTCCAAATGTTAACTGAAACTCCTAATAATTAAGGGTTATTAGGGGCTGCTGGCTGGCCTTATTTTCTACTGCAGTGCACTTGTATTTGTGGATTCTATTTATACACAGAATTAAGAGCTCTGTTTGAACAGGTAATCCAATCTCCTCTGTGTAATTTAGCCAATGATTTTTTTTTCCTGGCCCTTAATTTTGGCTATGTTTCAGGATGTATGGTGCAACTACAATACTAAAAATAATCTCATTTAATGTACTTTATCTGAAAGGATAAACCAGGCCACCTTACAAAAGCTGAGTAAAATTCGGAGTTTTTTTATTTGTGGAGGAAGCCCCAGAAGAGCTGAGGGGAACTTTTCTGTGCACATCTTTCCCTCTAGTGGCTGCTCTTCTTGGGAAAAAGCAACAACAGCAACACTTCAGCACTTCTGTATTGGGTACAAAGTGATGGGCAGGATGGAGGAAAGGAGACAAGCAGACAAACTTTTAGGTACCAGAAAATTCAAATCTCGTGATGAGCCATATGAAGGCAAAGATACAGTAGCCATGGATTTGACAATATTTTTGTGAAAAGTTGCAATGTGTTGAAATATTATAGTAATTGTGATCAGTTGCATAGAAGACAAGCTTCTCATAGTCTCTCACAGTGATAATTTTTGTTGGTCTGTCATATTCCTAGTGTTTGCAGGACTCATGAAATTGGAAAATACATCCGTGACAGCCCATAAACCAGCTGTCCCTCTTGTATCCATTCCATACACTTTTCTCCTGTCTGCTACTTTCTCCCCTCTGTGCTTTTCAGCAGCATTAAACCCCAACCAAGTCACCGTGTTCATTGCTTACTGTTCAGCTGTTCCTTGGCTGGGATTAGTGTCTGTCATACACCCCAGCACCCCTTCCCCAACTGATATCAAAGTGATGACTTAAAGTCTCAACCATTAGGAGAATGAGGTGGCTGAGACAGCACTGCAGAAACACGGATATGCCCTGGCAGAAAACGGGGCTGCAGGGCTACAACCAGCACATGGAGTATTTCATTAGGACTTATTTCTTGTCTGCACCCAGCAGTGAGTGGTCACAGGCAGTGAAACCAATGCACTGAATTGCATCTCTGGCCAGCTTTTCCAAGTGTTGAACCAGTGACTATGGTTAAACACCTCTAATGGAGTAGGGAGACTGGAAAAAAAAAAAAAAAACAAAACACAAACAAACCCCCAAACAAACAAACAAAAACCAATCAAACTGAAACAAATAAAATACCAAACAAATAAAAAACAGCACCACCACCACCAAAAAAACCCACAAACCGGAGAGGGAGGAAAAACATGCTGGAAACATTCATATCTCACATGGATGCCAAACTGAGAGAGTTTTCCAGCCCTTTAGCTGAGATGTCTTTATTCCTCTTTGCTTAATCTCACCCCTTTACTTTCTTCCATTTTTGCTGGTTTTATAGCAGGGTTACTCTCTCCAGCCAGACTCATTTATTCTGGCTCGGAACAGAATGGTCCAGTCCTTGTAACCTACAGTAGCTGGGAGATTCCCTTAACAGTTGTCGTTTACTGCTCTGACACTGTATGATAACAGAGGCTATTAAATACCTCCCTTTTCTCACTGCATATATTGGACATATGTGGTACCTGGCACAGAAAGCAACCCCAGGGTGCATCCCAGGGCACCCTTCCATCAGAAATCAAAATCTGACAGGACAATGATTACTATCAGATCTAGGGTGTTAACTTGTAAACCGTAAGTTACCAGGAATTAAAAACCTGAAATATTTCATTAAGGGCTTCTTCTGAGTAAATTATTTGTTTTTCAACCAGTTTAAGTCTGTAGCATTCCCAGAAGAATTTAGACCAACCTAGTGGTTAAAAAATAAATCTCTACAATAATGGATTACTTACAAGGTCTTGGAACTTCTACTGGGACAATTCTTGCTGCAGTTATTTCTCTCTAGGTTTGAATGGGAAAATGATTAGTACTTATATCTATTTTCAGCTAAAAAGTAAAATAGTAAATTCCATCAAACACTGACTACAGCTACTTTTTATCATAAAATTTTACAAATTCCCCACCAGTGAGCTCATTAGTGTAAATGATAGAGCCTTATCTCAGGTTTAAAGTCAGCATTTTTCCTTAGCTACTAAGCAGCTTGTTTTCTTTCGTGACATGGTAATGGAGGACTTTACTCCAGAGAGTGGGGAAAATATTCCTCTCTCTTCTTGCAGGGCAGTTGAGTAGGGCTGGTATAAACCAAGCAGACCAAATGAGATTTCAGTGCTGTCAGTATTCTTCTGGAAGCCTTTTCCAAAAGGAGCAGAGCCCTTGTAGAGGAGAGCAGTGCACATTGCACCACAAGCCTGTTGTGAGGGGTAGACGTCAAGGGGTGACAGAGGAGGAAAACTGTTTCTAAAGAAAATAATAGGCTCTCTATTCTACCCTCCAAAATCTTTAGGGCATACAAGCACTACATAACATACGTGGTGGTGTCCCAGGATGGCATCAGTGCTCCTCATCACACACTGGTACCTCATCAGAGCTGGGACACTGCAGAGTCCTGCTGGTAAAAGAGGGGTGGTAGAGGTCTCCTGCTCACTTTCCAGGAGCATCTGCAGAGGTGCTGGTAAGAGGAATGGGGCTGAGCTCTTACTGGTAACTACAGATACAGGTGACACTTGAAAATATTCTGTTAAAAACAATTACTGCAGATTACTTCAGTGGCAGAGAGCAGGGAATGGGAGGGCAAAACCCTGAGTACCAACCAAATTCTCCTGACTTTTGGCTGAAAACTACTAGCCCAGTAACTGTAGGGTAACCCTGTCAGCCAGCATATGGACACTGTTCCATACTGGTTACTGAACTCTGCTTTTAATGTATAGTGTGATCTCTTGCATTCATCACAGTGCATCAAAATAACAGTAATTAACACAGGCAAGGGCTGAAGCTGGATTGTTCAGAAGGCTCAGTGGGTTTGGGTGAGCTGTTCGGGAGGAGGTGGGGGGGGATGGTGACCTGTCATTATGTCCAGTGTTCATCTGCTGCTTTCTGAAATCATAATATAGCAAATTTCCATCTTCTGAGCACTCGTGGTATTTTAAGGAGTTGTTTGTGGCTCTGAACAAGAGCCCATCCCCCAGTACTCATTCAGGCAAGATCCCATTTGGCTGTGGGCAGCGCTGGGGAGCCCAGCCCGTGTGTGCCCCCACAGCTCCGGGGTCCGAGCGGGTGCTGCTGTGCCGGGCTCCCGGCGGGGCCAGAGGGCTGCAGTGGCTCTGCCCCGACCTCGGCAGCAGGGAAGCTCAGGGCAGTTTGCTTGAGTGACACGAGAGAGAAAATCCAAGAGCTGCGGACTGGAGAGCCTTTTCTGGTGAAACACAGAGCAGTCTCCAGCACTGCAACAAACAAAATAACGAACAAGGGGAGGTGGGCATGTAGATTTTGACAGTTTGAGTTAATAAAGGCTGGAGGAATGTGGCTGTGTGTGCCATCAACTCAGCAAAGATTTCTGAAGGAAACCTTCTTTCCTAGAGCCAAGTGCAATCTAGTTTAAAAAAAAAAATCCTGGAAGTAAACTACCTTAAGTCAGGGAGGAGAGAATACATCTCATTGAAGACAAAATGTCTTCAGTTGACTAATTGGAGCAACATCGCTTAAATATTAAGCTGTGAAACAAAAAGTCATTATTAATTTGGCTGGGGCCAAACAGTGCATTCCCTCCTCTCTATTCTAGATTTCTGATTTTCCAGACAGCTGGGCCTGTGTTTCCCCTGCATGGGCAGCTGCCCCCCAAACAGCGTCCTTTGGTGTCCTGATTCTCTGTAAAGCTCCATCCAAAGCCTATTGGGCTCAGAGTCCATTTTTTCTTTCATCATCTCTCAACCTTGAATTTACCTCACCATTGGTGGACTCAGATGTTTTGTCATTTCTGGAGCTGCAATTGCACTACAAGGTTAGGGCAGAAAAAGAATAAAGAGAACTGTTTCACATGAAGAGGACTTTTAGATTTCCATTTCTTTTCAGGTACACAGAGCACAGGGAAGTGCCCTTATGCTGCAGTAAACTCTGGGCTGTTACAAGGCTCAGGGGAGTAGAGCAGGGATTTTTTTATTTGCTCAGCAACACAAGGACCCCCTCCATGGCACCAGTGTGAAGGGTGACTGGGATAGGTAGGCAGATCTGCTCTTTCTCAAGGGCTAAATCTACTTGTTTTGGAAGCTGCTGATATATGTGAACTTCAGGGGAGACACTAATTGCATTTCATGTAGATGTGGCTGCTACTTGGGCCAAATTCTTATTTACACTCAAGTAAATTTTGCATATATTAAATACCAGAGAAGTGGAAAAAATTGTTAATGAAAATGGGTACCAGTTCTTCATCAAACCTGCCTCCACAGGTACATTTCATCCCCTGAAACAAAAAATCCAAGTTAAGCCTGTCACAAATATCATATTTTCTTACACATTCCTTCCTCTAACTATATCCACAAGCAGATTGTCCATCACTGCCGCAGGCAGCTTGTGACAAACTGCTGTTTCAGTAATTACTGAAGGTCTGTATCACATTTGTGATGCTGTTCACCAGGGGGGGTTCAAACCTAGAAAGACAGGCATCATCATTTTTCTTCTGAAGCTGAGACCAAGACTGAGTCACCGGGCTGGCCACTGACTGGCTCAGCAGATCAGCAGTGGCACCAAACATATTGTATTTATTGAATATTATGAGGGGAACAATGAGCTGTAGGATGGTAACAGCAGTGATACAAAGGGAGCTGGACAGCACCGGATAAGGAATCCAGTCAGGTATTGGCCAGTCCCCAGGATGAGTATATTTATAACAAAGATCATTTGAGGGTCATAATCGGGACATACAGGCAACCTGCTTTGTTTGCACATCATCACCACCATTGTTCAGCACATCTTAGGGTACAAAAATGCTCATGTGTTTTCCAAGATTTTACAAAAAAGAATGTTTTTCTTTTGGCATATGGTGACTTCTTTATTCTTTTACCTTCTCAAGTAAGCTGGGAGTTCTTCACTTAGGTTATGTAAAATATTTACCTACGGAGAAGCTTACCTGCATTCAATGACTCTGCACCACACCATTTTCTTACAGGGTCAGCAAAATCCTTAAAGGCTGGAGTGTAAAAATTGTGTTGCACTGCATTTGCGCATTGCCTTTCCTTTATCCACAGACACTCACCTCACTTGCCTCCGTCCTTTTGCATAGTAGGTTTTATTTACAAATTGGCAGTAAAGTGCTGTAGTCTCTTTGACAGTTTGCAATTAATTGCGCACAATCTGTTTAGGCTTCAAGATGCACCGTCCATAAATGATGATACATTCCAAAAGGCAGCCCAATTGGCTGCTTTGCATATTGCATATATTTTTCATATTTCTGAGACAGGACATATGCAAAATCATTTTACTGTGGCACAAACACAGGAAAGATTATTTGGAAGAAAGGCCAGAGGCCAGAGGTTCTATATCTAATTCTTTCACTCACCTGCTGCAGGCTGCGGGTAAGTCATCTAATATTTCTCTGCCTTTCTTTTGCATCTGCACAAGGTTGTTTATTCTTCTAAGAGCTGAAATTCAGTGAATGAAACCGTAATTTATTATTATTAATATTTTCCAATAAATGGTTGCAGTGCTTTAGCATTGCTTTGAAGTCAGTCAAGTATAAAAGAAATAGAGAATTGTAAGAAACAGCAATTCAGTCCATCTGATATGCCTGCATTGAAATGCTTCTTGTGGAATAACCTCCTCCAGACTGATACAGGAGTATGTGCTAAATGGATCCCAGAGTCCTGAGAAACTTCTCCTTTCCCTTATCCTTTGTAAAGAGTGACATGAGTAACGTGGCCCAAATCACTAACAGCAACTTTTACAACATAAAGCATTTAAATATACCAGTAAATATCTTATATTACAATCATACCTATCACCATTCTAACAACAAGCTCCTACCTATTTTCATTTTTCTCTCTTTCCTCCCACCCTGCCTTCCCATTTTGAATTAATGAGCAACTCTCAAAAAAGCAACATACACTTTAATGATACATGTAATACTATAATTGGATCAAATTACTTTGTTTCCCCAAAAAGCTATTCTTTATTTGCTGTCAGGCTGCTTGTTTGTGATCCTAACATTGTCAGTCATATCAGGAAAGCCTTCTTAGTCATAAAATACATATTGTAGAGGAAGTACTATTGATTCTGAATGGGGCTTTTTAGCAGTAATTATGTACAGCTTTTAGTAATTTTGAGAGTCACCCAAGCATCATTGATATAAACCATTTGCAATGACATGCAATGATGCCTGCATAGTATTTTTATAAGCAAAATAAAATAAGACGTTTTGGTGGTAACATGTAAATTAGCCTTGAGGCTTGCAATGTAATGCTCATCAAGTGTGTAACATTTAATTTCAAGACCACTGAGCATGAGTGAGGTCCCCTGAGCTTTTCATCCCTACAATAGAAAGATTCTCCCACTGAACTGATGATTTGAATCCTCTCATCAGATGTGGGGTGAATTCGCTCATCTCTCAGGAGGCCAAACTGGCTTTTACAGGTCTGATGTCTTTGAGGACCCTATTTAGTGGAGTACTTCATGTTACTGGTGCTTGAGGTACCTTGTTGAGTGCCATCTGCAGGGAACTGAGAACAGCAGGCACGAGGTACAACGTACCATCAGCCCGTAATCAGAGGGATTTGCACCTAAAGTAGAAGAGCTCAGTCTGGGCTGTTCTGCTTTCTACCTTAATAAACAAAATTGTACTGCACTTTAGGAGTTACTTAAAGTGCAGTGTCTTCATACTGGTGGCTTCTGACATACCCAAATATACAGCAGCACAGAACACTCCAGCAATTCTGTGTTCTGCACTGAATCAGTGCAGTTTGCATCCACTTGTGCATGGAAGCATGGATTAGATCTTTCATTGGGTCTAGTCTACATCACTAGCACAAACAAACCTAAAATATCCTTTATCTCATCCTTTACATCTAGATGCTTCTGAAAATGTTAGTGAATGCTTTGTTGGGGTCCAGGTTTCAAGCTGGGTGTCTGTTTTCTTCTTCTTGACCTCTGAAATTCTCAAGGTGGCTGGTGCAGCCAAAGAGTGGTACAAGGGAGAAATGCCCCAAGCCAGATTAAATGCACAGACATAAGTCCTCCAAGCCCATTTAGGCCTATATAACTGCCTGTCCTCTGCAGATAGCTTGCAATCCTTTCATTAGGGCTGCCAGTGGAGATGCCTGGGGGTCCACTGACAAAGCAGAGGACTAGCAAGTGCCTAAGAAGATGCACATTCTATCTTTGATGAGCTACTCTAAAAAAGTAAAGCAAAAAACACCCCAAAACCCAACAAACAAAAAACCCCTACCACAACAGAAAGATAAAGGGCAAACTATGCAAATACTGTTATGAAAGAGTAAACTATATAACAGTGTGGCCTTGCTCAAAATTTTAAGGGCTTCCTTATTTTTGAGTTTTGAATACCTCAAGTTGACAAAATTACTATGTAAAGAGGAAGGAAAGTTTAAAGGATTTGATTACAAAAATTGATTGAAATTAATTGAATTAAGTTTTTGATAACAAGAATCAAACATAAAGCCATTTTAAAATCCAAAATGGATGCAGTTTTCCAGTAAGTTTGAGAGAGGAAACATTACTCTGTAGGTTTGCTGGAGATAGGAGTTTCATTTTCAGTATCTGTCCAGTACAGCAAATGCATTTGATAACTTACTTCTTACAGACAACACTATATGAGTGTTGTCCCAGTTCTCTAGACACTGGAAAATGAGAAGCCTGAGGAACTGGTAAGGAATATGACTTGATCTGAGACAGCTACTGTTAATGTTCTGAAATGTCTTGGCTTCCCAATACTGAAGTGTTACCTTTTTATGCAAATGGTAGTTGCACAAGCATGTTCAATCTATGCTATTTCATGACTAGTATTCTCATGTCCAATCAATAAATCCCCAGAGTCTCTCCCTGAAATGGCCATCCTTGCTCAGTCTCTCCAGTAGGAGGAAGTCTATTTAGCAGCAGGTTTTCAGCAAACCAAAATGTGGAATCAATACCCTGAGAATAATCTGCCCACTTGTCCTTATGAAATATTTGTATTTTTCCATGCAAGTTCTAACAGACCAAATGACTTTTCCGATATGTAAGGGTTTAGTGCCTTGTATGGAAATGCATCAACTACACAATTGCCAGCACATATGAGAGGATCTTTCAAGGTTGCTGGTGAATTGACTGAAGAGCTTCAATAAGGCTTTAAAGTCAAGTCATACAGATACAGAACACTCACCTGAATGGTTACAGGCTGCCTGTGAGCTACTACAATTTGTAGGTGAGGGGAGTCTGGGTAGAACATGGAGCTTTCCTCTCCTGAGCTCGCTGCATACACCTTCTGTTACATGAGACAGAAATGGAACACCTCTCTGCTGTATGCATACCTTCCCTAGGGAAGGGGCACTGATGCCAGCCTCCTTTCCCACTTGTTTTTTCTGCTGCATGGTTTGCAGCCCAGTGCAGTACAGGACAGCAGCCCCTCCTCAGTCTGTCCCTTGGGCAGAGAGCAGGGGCAGGGGAGTACCTCTGCATTCTGTCCCCCAGGTATCCCTCCCTGGTTTTAACTGTGCCATGAGACCATATTTTCCTTTGAAAAGTAAATACAATAACATTGTTATTAATAATTTTAATAATAATGGTGGTTTAAGACGACTTAAAAGTTATTCACAATTACTTTCTTTTCTTAACTCCTTTAATATAGTCACAAGAATACAGTAATCTCCACATGTCTCTTCTGATCTGGGATATATCTGTTCTTATCCTGGCTTTCAAAAGGGAAGCCCTCAGCAAAGGGTCTGAGGTTACATTTTCATTTTTATCTCGGTTTCCTAAGGAAATGAGGGTCATGCCGTTACTGTCTGTCTGTCTGTTCTTATTTTCCTGTCATATTGCCTTACAGGAACCTTTGAGCCTGTCAGTCAACCTCAGTCAGAGTAAAAAAGCTTTGTAAGTCTCAAGAATAAATACATGCCTGTAAGACTTCATGGACACTTTTGGTTGGGAGCAGAAGGACACACAAATTAGAGCTTTTGCTGAGCAAAGGTGAGGGAAACAAAGCCAGTGCCATCTGCTTGGCAGCAGCTGATGGACAAACCAAGACTGGCCACCCATCAGCATGAGGCTAAATTTGGACAAGCCAGAGCAGAAACAGCTTCTTGGCTGGCGAGGGTGCAACAGTGACCCAGCTGCTCCCATGAGTGGGAGGCTCTAAGGAGTGCAGGGCACCTCTCCCTCCCAGGCACATCTCTAGTTCTGTGCTTCACAGCTGCACTTACAAGTCTGTCATCAAATTCTGCCTTCCCTGCCAAAATAGTCAGGATGTTTTGCAGATTACACACAGCAATACCATTCCTGTTCTAGAGAAATTACAATTTAGGGATATAATTTATGTTCAGTCCTAAAACCTACTATTTGTCTAAATTTTTAGTTACAAATTGGAATATAATCTTACTGTATCAAAAACATCCAACTGTTCTCAGACAGGGTCTGATCCTTTGGTGTAGCTAAAGTAAAGCTTTCCCTGAGTTTGGTGATGCAGGACCAAACTTGGGCTGTGCTGCCTTGTATTTGATTAGCAGCACTTGATAGGATAAGGTAAGTGCATTGGTTGTATATGCTTCATATGCAGCAGTGTGTGGTAGGCAAAAGTAGTGAGATAAATCCCCACAAAAATAATTTAAAAAATGAACAACCAATGATAGCTAAGAAAAAAAAAAAACAAACATGAAAAAACCTACAAAATCAATAGATTATGAAAGCTACTCTGAGGCTTCCACTGCTATCATCTCAAGGCTTTATTATCAAATATCAAAAAATCATTACTGCAACATCAAAACGTTCATAATAACAATATAAAAACTCCACTCAATCTGTTCCTGCAGGGATCTGATCTAAAATCCGCAAGAAAAGAATAAAGTTGCTGTGAAAATGGCAGCTGGCCAGTTCAATCAGTCTGCCAGCCTGGTTCTATAATTGTACACTAGGCACTGCACCTTGGTGCCACCATTGTAGATAACTTCAAAACAAGTGCTCAGGCAAACAAACTATAACTAAATCAGACAAAATATGAAATCTTTCAGGAAAGCCCTTAACTGCTGTTATCAGGTGTGCTATTTGTGGCTTTGTGTCTTTTTATACTTAGAGTAACAGATTCCCTATCTTCTAGAAATTATAACTTAAACACCCTGCCTGGTATCCTTGTGCAAAAGAGCAGTTCTTACCAGCTTTAATGTTCTCCAGATTGCCTTATTTCAAAAGCAAGAGTCACTCCAGATTGCATGGGAAACCATCATCCTCGCTGCCTGTGGGAATGAAGTTTTAGGGATAACAAGTTACTATATGAAGAGTTCTTTTGTTTGAGAGTAATTCTGTACCTTTAATGAGTACTTAGGCATAGTATTTCCAAAACTCCTTTTGGAATCTACATACAAATAGAGCTTTTAGTTCATAATGGCAGTATTTGCCGGGGAAGGGGGTGCTGGGGGTGGGCAGGGAGTGTGGGGGTGAATGTCATTCTCCATTTTCTAGTATAACAGAAAAAGAAAAGAAAGCTTTCTGATCCACTTTGTCTAGAGTGATCTGCTTTATTTTTCACTTGAAACCCTAAGTCTGACCTGAGATTTATAACCCCAATCAGCTCTTTACAGTGCACTTTTATAATTAACAGATATTTATAAAAGCTTCCTCTATTTGGGGACAAATCATAAATACATACTAGTAACAGATGTCTGTCTTTTCTTAAGCTTAAAAAAAGTAAAACTCACTGTAATTCCATTATAAGTTTTAAATTTTATACCTTTTTTTTTGTGCGGGTTTCCTCTTGTCTGTGTGGGTAGCAGATGGTCCTTCTGAATCCCAGAAAATGCACGGAGTTAGCTGACTAGACCAAAACAAGAAGGTTTAAAAATTGAGGGATGTACACAGGTATAATAGGGTTAAAGGAGGATGCTTTCAGTTGGACAAGCTCATGTGGGCTTACTCTGTGATTTTACATTGTGTGAAAAGATCTGTGGGAAAAGTACCCAGGCAACTCCCCCCTCCCCTCAAAAAATGAGATCTTTGTAGGTGAGGAATATCAAATGACATGTGAGCAGAGTGCAGACCTGGCTTGTATGTGTTATATACTGCCTACATGTCCTTGGCTTTTCCTCCGCTACCGGCCGACTGCCTGAAGTCACCCTCCAGCCTTTCAGCTCATAATCTACTTCCTGACAATAACTAGCAAAAGACTAACATTGCACTTGGCTCTGCAGTAGACTCCAAACAGCCCAGAGGCACGGCAGGGTCAGCCTGCTGCGAGGCTGTTTGTTTATTTTGGTTGACATTTTCCTTTGTGGAGAATCTGTTCCTTGTTATTCAGTGCGTACAGCCCTGCACATATCCTGTTTGACTGTCTTCGGATAAAAGTGGGTTTTTTCCTGTGTCAATAAATGTTGTGGTGTGAAGCTGTGAGCTGGACTCCGAGAGAACCACCCCCTGCTGAGCATCTCACTTTTGCATTGAGTTTTCTTTGTTAATCATGTGCAAAATAAGAAGGCTTTCTGTCTAACAAATCCCCATCATTAATTTTTCATACGAGCACTAAAGTCTCGAGCACAATCCTTGAGTGGCTTCAAAGAAAAAGGAATAATAAAACCAAAGAGCTACATTTTCCTTTTGCTCATCTTAGTTATTTGATATTTTAAGAAAACTTTTTCATGCAGAATTACAGTTCTCTCAGCTTCACAGTGACACATTCTTTCTGAAAACTGCATTTGACCTTCAACTTTGTCCTTCATTAGCAGGATTACACCTAAACACTCCTTCATTTTACTGCAAATGAGACAGATGCAATGCGTATTCTGTTCGGCCCCAGCATTAGGATTATCCCAAGAGTGGCATTTATGTTCTTGTAGTTCCTTGGTATAAATAAATATCAAAGTAGGAAGACCAATCTGTACTCCACTAGGAATAATAAACTAAAATAATATGGCACTGATTCTGTTTGGGTTGTCTAAATGTGTTTTTATGATTGTATATGTTTATGGCTTTCTCACACAGCCACCATGAATTCCAGGCAATTAAAAAGGACATGAGTTCTGAAGCATTTTAAAAGGGGCTTTGCTTTCCAAATGGTGTGTATTAAAAGTAGAATATATTTTTTTGACAGAACTACTGCAAAGTCAACAGTCACACATTTGCCCTGCTCCAAATTTCTTCCCCTTTTCCCACCTGAAATAACTAATTAGAATATTTCTGTAAGTTGAGAAGAAAGGCAGGGAAAGATTCCTTTTATGTTTGCACATATATTAGATGCATTGCTAACTTCAGACTTAGCCTGCAGGCCCCAGATTTGAAAGTAGCTCAGAGGGAGAATGTAGCAGGTCTTGTATAAGGTGTATCAACCCACTGTACCATCTGCTTTTCCAGGGTGAACCAGTCCAGTGTCACCACTCCCATGATGGAGAATAGTCCTGTCCTTGCTGAACACTGCCTTGTGTCCACCCCTACTTGACTGAGAGGCACAGATTTTGCAGTTGTGGTTGTAGAGAAGAACAGTATTTAATTGAATAAATGAGTAACTCTGCTCTAACCTACCTTGAACTGCTCAGTCTGTGTGGTGTCATGAGTTATCGAACAAAGAAGTAAAAATGCAAGAAGTGAAGAAACAGTACTTTTGATCAGACTGTTAAATATTTTTGGCTTGCTTTTGTTATTTACATCAATTCAAATACAGTGTAAAGGGCCTAGAGAAGAAAAATGTATTTAAAAATTTTCCAATTATGAACTAAGTCCTGTTTTGAGTGGTTATGTTCAAGAAATACTTTGGAAGACTAGGGGAAACTAGGTACATTAAACAGGTACATTTTTAAATAAAAATGCATTGTTCCTCCCTCGGGTCAAACTATCCCTAACCCCATGACTTTATACATGAAAGAAGGTGAATAAATGGAAGAGAGAGGGTGGTAAAGCTCAATAATTTGCTGCTCCACAAAGTCTTCTACAGCTGTCAGTGGGGCAACTTAAGGACTTAGGTGTTAACAGCATAAAGTTTCAAAATTTAGCCAGATTTATCTTGAAAGGAGAGTTTATTGAAGTGTATGGCTACAGCAGTCACTCCTCTGTTCACAACACATCTGGAACAAGCACCTGAAATTTCTGCAAGGTTTGGAGACCTGTCATAGTAGTTTCATGGATGGCACAACCTCAATGGATGTGGGCAAACATACATAAAAATTCTGGGCCAAGAGCCCTGAAACTCTTTCAGAGTTCACAAATAGTCATATTTTGTGAGAAAATCACTAGGGATTTCTGCTACTTTACTCATAAGGTGTTGCCTCTTCTGCATTGTTCACTGTATCTTTGGTCCATCCATCTATTACATAAGTATTTTACTGGGTGCTTCGTCCTACAGGGAATCATTAGCTCATTGTGCTTAGGTGCAGAATGTCAGCTGTTTAGTAGAAATGTATCATCCTGTCATTATTAAACATTTCTTTTTTGTAGCATCAAGAGACCAATCCTGTCAGGTTTCCTCTGTTAAATTTTCAGTGAATGATAGTCCCTGACAAGCTGACATTAGCATGAAAGAGCAGGAATTGACACAAGCTTCTGGTGTTTCCAGAGGAAGGGTGTAAATCCTGCCCAGCAGACTCTTGTTTAGCAATGAGATCCCTTATGGAGATAAAACTGGTGCTCCTGAGATAACCCCTGGCAGCAGCAGAGCAAAGAGGAAAACCCTGATGAGCCAAAAGTGTTTCCAAAGGCAAGAAAAAGCAGTCCCATCCCTGTGAGGAGGTTAGGAGGCAGGAAAAGAAAAGAAGCAGAATGGGGGAAGTCCAACTTATTATTTGAAAATTATAGCCCAACTTTTACACGTTTAATCAAACCAAGCTGAGCCAGCAAAATTACCCACCGTTAGTGGACACGGCCCAGGTGTCTGTTCAGTACCAGCTGCAGCAGCAGAACCAGCACTGCCCTGGGTAAGAGCTGCACTGCAGGAGCTCAGCTCTCCTCCTCGCCTGGCTGGAAAGTCTCTGGCTTGTCTATTGCAGCAGGAAATGTTTTTAAATCTGAACAATGCAGGAGATCTGAGGGCAGACAGCACAGATAATGAAAAGAAAAAAGAACTATTACTTGGAAATGATTGTTGCTTCGTCACTTTTCCTTAATTTCCTCAGTAACTGGTAGAAACCGTTCCTTTGAAAATATTTAGGAAATAACATCCATAACACCATTTCCCCGCCTCAGTCTTAGCTATTGTTTTCATCCTTTTACTTTTGATGACAGGTGAGTTTCAATTGTAGTCCTTTTTATGAATACTCACTTTATAAATTATGCAGAATAAAGTCTCTAATTTCAGAGTAAATTTCAGAGATTCTTTTCTTCTTGTGGTGTGTAACAACTGCATAACATTTTTATTTAGTTCTTCAAAGGCTTTATAATCAAAATTTTTGTTTTCAATAATGCCCATAAAATCCCTACATTCACTTATGAAGCAGAAGCTGAGAGAATTAAATAACAAGATTTAATCTTCATTTATTTGGTTAGACTAGGTAAATAATATTGATGTCCACACTTTAACATGTAATTTGAAAGGAAAACTGTTTTATGGGTTTTTTTACTTAAGTATGGTCCATGGCTAAAGCTAACTGACCATGAGTCAGATCTTTACCTGGTGCAAAGTAGTTTTGAAGCTGATGCAACAAAAGAAATGTACATCAAGAATGAAATAAGGTATTATCAGGGCTCTGATTCTGGAAAAAAACCAAACAACTTTTCTTGAACCACACTGAAATTAGGGAGCTGCATGTGGGGGGGCAAGGATTCAGCTGTTTGGATTTTAAGGTTCAGAGCTGGGAAGTAATTTCCTGCATTGCCATTTTCATTTTTAAGCCTTCCTATCTGTTTCTCTTGAATATAGTAAAGAAAACTTTCCTCCTTCCACAAAAGATTTTTGACTGTCAGACATTGGTATGGAAGAGATCTCTCAGCACCACCAACTCTAACAGTAAATACTTCCCTCCAGTACGCAGAAGACCAGCTTCCACTGGATACTTATTTACACAAGATGAACCAGTTTATTTATGTAAGATGAACCAGTTTGATCAGGAACAGTTGAACAAGTCCCCAGAAAAGTCCACTGACTGATGCCTGGTAAATTAGTAAGGATTCAAAAGGTGCCTGGTTAAATCCAGCACAGAGATCTGAACAGCAGATTTCTGTATTTCTTGCATGAGCTCCCTGACTCTGTGCTGTTCATCACACCAGTGCAGGCAAAGGCCTTGAAAAATCAGTATTTTAGCTCCTACAGGACAGCTCTGGCTTTGAAATTTGGTGCCTTACAATGACACGCCGTTTATTGAAATATTCCTAGTTGTCCCAACTTGCAAGTTTTGCTATTAAAGCCCCAAAATTAGGATGGCACCAAAACAGAGAAATATCAAATTATCCTGAAAATCATGTGTAGCTTTCGTTTGTGCTGAATGACAATTAAACTGCTGAAGGTCAGCTACAGTCCTACAGCTATTAGGTTTGGATTGCTGTGCGTCACAAGCCTTTTCACAAGCACCTGACAGATCTCTGCCATTAATAACAAATGACAATCTCACTGGTGCTACAATGCATGTTACATTTAATCAATTTGTTATTTGTATTCATTATGTACATCTCCTATTCTGAGTCATGAAAAATTGAGAAGTAATTACAACACGGAAGAGCATCACTGATAACAAATGAGATAAGATGAGAAAAAGTACTGATAATTGGTCAGTTGTGCTTGTCAGTACATTTAAAGTAATTAAGGCAGGAAATGAGATAAGACAATCGTATGCCTTTGAAGTGAAACAGAGCATCAGGATAACCACTGGTATGGTACACTGGTTATGAGAAAAATTCAATCATCTAAACAGGTATAGAGGTGAGACAGGCTTTAAAGAGTTGTTTAACTACAGCTACTACTTAAAGAAGTCAAAGTCAAAGTTACATTTCACTCTGAGTGAAATGTAATTGTAGTGCCTGGTAGCCTGATCCCACTACAAATCTACCTGTCAACATCTCCATTATAGCCCCCACTGCCAGGGGCTGCTAACTCATCTTTTTTACATTTCAACAGCCTCAAAGAAGGCAAACAAATTAGTGACTCAGATGTCTATTTCTGTACTAAAAATAGGAAGACACATTAAACTGTTTTTAATCAAGAGAATACCAAGATGATGTCAACTTGTAGTATTTCAATTGTATTTGCTTGTGAACCAGAGGATTACCTTAAAAAATGGTAGGGCAAGAAACTGTGTCTCTGAGACAGAGACAGGCTGATGCAGTTTTGCACCTTGGTAAGATCTTGAAAAGTGGAACAACCACACTATCTGCTTTTAATGAACAACTTCTACCTGTTAGTTCATAAGGCTTTTACCAGACCTAGGAGTCCACATTCCCTGTTGCTGTGATAGATAAACACAAAAGAACAAAGGTCCACTTTAAGAGACAACGTGCCTAATTTAATCTTGAGCAGAACTTTGAGGAACTTACATGTCTGCAGCCGATGCAGCAGTCCTGGGAAGTTCTCTGTCCAGCCATTTCCTCTGGGCCCCAGAGGTCCTTAACTCTCTCCATGTGCCAGCCAGGATCAAACTGAGCAGAATGCTCACATCTGGACCCAACCAGTGCAAGCAGGAAACACCCCAGAGCCTAGTCCCAGTAAGCACCCTGGATTTGGCTTCTTAAAAATGCTATTACAGACCCTGCTTCAAGATAAAATCTGCAACACCTAAGACAGTACTCAGAAGTGTCTACTGGTCACATTCTGTGCCTGTATGGTAGATCTTCCTGAAAAAAAAAAAAAAAAAAGGAATTAAAATTAATACAGTAAGTTCTTAATAACTACTTCTTGTGCTTCAGAATTAAAATTCATTTTTATAATCATGCTTTGGGAGAGACAGTGGCCAGAGGTTCCTGCTATGCAGAGTCTCAAGTATAAACTTCATGCCATTTCTGCTTAAAATGGTAAATTTAAGGTTGAATTCAAACGGAAAACAAAGTAAAGACGTAAGAACAGAAAAAGACATGGTTGACAGTCACTTTCTTGAGAAAGAGAACCACAGTGACAAGGGAAGGCAAAAGTGCTGAGGAAGGTGATGACTGAATTGCTGTGACATCTGGAAAGTAGAGTTTGGTCATAAAAAACTGCTCAGCATTAGCAATTATAGTAGCTTTTCTTTGACATTGCCCCTGAAGTTTAGAGGGAATATCATTGATTTCATAATGAAAGCTATTCATTTTGCAAAGGTTTATTGTAAAGTGTCATGAGGAAAGGCATCCTCAAGACACTAAGAAATATAACAAAAACCTGCAAAAAAAGGTGTAAAGAATTCTAAATCACTGCATTGCCTAGATATTAATGTAAGTAGGTACTAAATGCACTGGCTGATTAATGCTTCATTCCCCTTAAGGAAAGAGAATTAATAAAACAATATTTAAAGAAATGCAGGAGTGAATAAAACCAGCACTAGCAGCACAGTGATTACATGGGAAACAAGACTCAGTGAAGATAATGTGCTTTCTCAGGTAGGATTTGGTGGAGAAATTGACAGCTAAAGCTATTCAAAAAGGCAACACCAAGCCTTCATTACTTTCAAGTAAAACATTTTTAATCACCCAAGTCCCTTACCAGCTCTGTGTGTGTCTATTCCCCATCAGCAGCGGGGCACGAAAGTTCTCGGCTTAAGCTGTTCTAGAAAAAGATTTTCAGCTTATCCGGGAGGTTTTTTAAACTCCCTGTTCAAAAGGGTTGCAACTGTTTATTTGTCACCAACCTGTAGTCAACAGAAATGATAGGTTTTTGTGAAATCATAGAAGCATGAGCTTTTTGAAGAACAGACTATACATGTATGTCTACTCTGAAGACCGTCTCTGAAGGAGAACAAGGATTTCTGTGTGCTGGATACAGGGCTTTGTAAATAAGGCTCCAGACAGTTTGGTATAAACAAAGGAGTAAAGGCAAAGCTAAAAAAAGCAAGTGATATTTAGGACAGGATTTTCTAGACTGGTGTGAACTTCAAATGGAAATTGAAGAGTTTCTGCCAGGCCAACAAGACCTCGATCCCTGCTCGGTATCTCAAACTGCTGCATTGGTGCAGAGCCTGCTGCAGCTCTGCAGGCACAGCAGTCCCTCAGCTTGTAGGGCTGGGGCTGGAGTAGGTATATTTTATGTGCAAACACACAACAGGTATTTCAGGTGTTACAAATATTAGGTGATGTAATGATGTAACTTAGGATCCTGCATCCAGGCTCCTAGATTTGTTAACATATTGTAGGTCTTGTGTTTATTTAGAAGGAAATTTATATATCAAGCACTCTGAGAGTGGTATCTACTCAACTGCTATTGACTCACAGCTGGTTGGAAGTAATTATATGATTTCTCAATAAGCATCAGAAGTCAGCCATAAAGTTCAATTATTTTGACATAAGAGATCAATACCAGAAATCTGAAGCAATTATAGGCACATGATTCAGAAACTGCTTGGCTAAAAATGATCACATGGTGAATCTGTCCCCGACCACAGCTATAAGTTCGGTTGGCAGTGTGGTTCTTCACATCAAAGCACATGTAATCAGTGGTTTATGATACTAACATAAGATGTTATTATTTTGCATTTCCAGAGCACACCCCTCACCATGGACTGCATCCTGGACTGAACACATCCTTTCCCAGAGTAATTCTGAAAGTAATATTGAAATCTGTCATCATTTGTATCTGTGAAAAACACAAGAGATAACAGCGTACATTCACTTCTTTTAAATCAGCATCAACTGCTGCCTCTCACATTAAATATTAATCAAACGTCTGAGTCAACAAATTTCATCACTGAAGCAAACAGAAGGCAGTAGTGGGATGCCTACTGTCAGGGCCAGTCCTGAGCAACTGTGCTGGATGCTCTTCCAGATCACTCCTGCTGCCCTTTCCCTCCTGGAAAGTGGACTGGCAGCAAGCACTGCTGTCACAGCTCAGCTGAGTGGCCAAGTCATTTCCATGTGCTTTCCAGCTCCACACCACACTGCCTCCTGCCACTACTCCAAAGTGACACTGCAAACACCTAAAAGTGTCAATAGTACAGAGGTACCATATCTCTTTAATGATTGCTTTGCTCCTGGTGTTTTCTCCCAGTTCCTTTGCTGTAATCAGCAGACAGCTGGCACTAAACACCAGTGGTTTTTCTTGGGTATGATAATGATTTGACATAAAAGATAATGTTAGACACAGTTAGGTACAGATGTGACTTTGGCAGTTCTCCTCCTTTCCCATTTCCTTCTGCTGTCTTTAAAACAAGTCTACAGCAAGTAAAAATGAGCAATGAAATATTGCTGCTCTGTTTTATTTACTAGTGGTGCTGCATCTAAACAGACATTGACTGCAGTTTCATCTGAATGGACCCAAACAGGGCCCACCCTTAGGAAACAGAGATATTTCCACTTCTGCATTGAAAACATTACATTCCAAGAACGTGGAGGACAGTTCTGAAGTATAACACGTTATCTTACAGTGCAAAAGAAGTAAAGATATGTATAATTTAGACTCCAGTATTTGTGCTTAGGATCACAGCCTAGGCATTTCATGTCTAAAAATTTGACCAACCATAGGGCTATGCTCAAAATGCATTGCTCTATTTGTTTTCAGTTGACTTATTCAACTAAGTTTAAAAAACCTGAAAGACAATAAAACCAACAACAAAAATCCACTCATCAAACACAAGAAGGATTTATATTAGTAGGTTCAATAGTTCAGATACTGTTCACCCTAGCAATGAACATGTACTGTGTCCTTGTGCAGACAATTAAGAATTTTTTTGTGTCCTTCTATTTGTATCTGTAATAAGAGACCATGGCTTCAACAAAATAAGACAAAATACTTTCCCATCTTACCTTCTGTCCTAATTCAAAAGTCATTGTTATTTTAAATGGTTTAACCAACACCAGATTAGCATAAAAACAGGAAAAAAATGTGATGGTGTTATATATATTCCCCCCCCAACAGTCAAAATCCTCACATTTTATTTGCAAAACTATAATTTTTGGTCAGCTTTTCTCACTAAAAATAAATCCTGAAAAGCAAGACAGGCTCATACCACTGAAAAACGTTAAAGAACACCCTTCAAGTTCCTTGAGCAGCTTCCCATCCAGAAACCAGAGCTTGCTTTAGAAGCAACCAGAAAGACTGCATGTAGACAAACACCTGAGCTGCACAGCCTGTAAGAAAAATATCTTAAATCTTTTAAACATTGCATGTAATACTGTTTTATATCCTTAAGAGCTATAAAGGAAATTACTGATTTTACACTGGTATCATCACAATACCAGTGTGGTCTTAATCAGTCATCATAATAGCACGTCTCGTTTGCAAGTGTGGGTTCATTAACTGGACAGAAATATCCCAGCTTGTTCTAACCATTCAAACTGTGCCTTAAACAAACATGGTTATGTGCTGGTTGTGCTATAGGGACATCTCAGATTAGAGCTTGGCACTGTTATTTTCCCAAAGGCTGCTGATGTAAGTACACATACTACTACCCATGTGTAAGCGCAAGGTGACAGCAACAGCTCCTTGTTTCTTTTGAGAGTTCCTGAGAGAAATCCTGCTTGGAAACTCCCAGGCTTGTTAAAGTTAAAGCATGCCAGCAACCCAAGGCTAGTCAGCTCCTCAAAGGAATCTCACAGGCTTGGCACTATGTGTGTCCTTTGTCCAGAGACAGAACATTTGTGTCTTGAAACTGGAGCAACCAGCATAACTTGACAGCCAAACCTGGTCTCGCTGCCTGGACCTCTTCCTGGCACCTCTGCCACCTGTTTCCACACCAAGGTTCATCTGCTCCCTGCATGAGGCATTCGAAAAACAAACTCCTTTCTGGCCTTTCCCCAAGGAGCCACTTACTCCTAAGCTGTCCCTGATCATTGGGGCACAAATAAGGCAGCAGAAATGAGACTCGAACCACCTCTGTTAAAAGGAGGCAGCATCTCCTGCCACTTGACACTAGTATGCAGGTTTAGTGCTATCCTGTGTTTTCTGCCATGGTTTTACTGTTTCATAAATATTCATATGTGTATTTTTTTTGTGGTGGGTTTTTTTGGCCAATTTGTAAAATTTGAGGTGGAATTATTTTACTTTTTCCTTCCTTGGGATATGTGGAAGGCATCTGTGCCATTCTGCTTGTGTAAGCACCGACAAATCCATCCCTTGAGAGACAACTAATTAGTCACAGTGAAGTTTAAGCCTTGTTCCTTAAAGAAGGAGGTAATGTCATGGTGGCAAAACCTGTCACCTTTGCCTGATGAACCTGAAGGGAGGAACACTGTTATTGCATAGTCCCAGTCCATCCATGTGACAGGGAAAATGATACTGGCTTGTCTAGAGTGGAAAATGTAATAATCTAAAAATGTTCAAAGAGAAATCATCTGCAAACAGTGCTAACATTTTCAGAGGCAGCTCTCTCTTCCAGTGCCACAAATGAAACAATTATCAGCAACTAAGTGATGGGCAGTTATTTAATGAGTTAATCTCATTAGGATATTTGAGATCTCAGAAGAGACTCAACCCATTAGCTACACGAGAGCTTTGAAATAAGCCTTTCAAAAGGACTATTAGAATATGTTAAAATGTGCTTAATACACTGTGGACTTAACCAGGCTGTCTGGCAAGAGGAAGAGCAAGAGGTCACTGCTGGTGAGCTTTTCTGTAAGCCCCACAGTCACAGCAGCTAACGGGCCCCAGCCACCCCTGGAGCCCACCATGTAACATCACTAACAATTTGGATTCTTGTTTCTAAGGTTAGCTTTGCTATTCTGTACAATTTCACCTTGCTTTCCAATTTTGAATCCTATGCTTTTACCTGATCTGGATTGTCAAATCTGGACTAGTCTTATTTTGTATATATAACAAACAAACAAACAAAAAAACCCCAAAACAAAAACCCCAATCGGAATAATAGTTCAAGTTACTTCACCTCATGTTCTCCATAGTGATGGAATCCCCTCTAACCCTCTCTCTTTTTTTAACTAGAACATAATTTTAAAAAAATGCAGACTGTCATTAATTACATTAAGAACAACAGCAGAGTCTCACCTAGAACAACATCTTTTCATTACTTTGATTTCAGTGGGATACCACAGCTTACACAATTGCACCTTTGGAATTTACATTCTATAACTGGTTTCTGCTCTTTATATTTACTTATATTAGCTTCAGTAAAATAATTCACATTACTAAAGTGAATAGTATTTGACCCTATAACCTTAAATGAAAGGCATTAATTGCAGAACCTAGAGAATATCTTCCAGCAATAATTAAAACTCAGGAATAAATTTTTCCATCATTGTATATCACACTGAAGTGTGGATACCTTATGCCTGATTATTCAGATCTGCTCCACAAAAGCAGTCATGAAATGTCCACCACATAATTGCTAATGCTAATTGATTTAGTCTATGCTTTTAAAAGCAGCAATATGAAAGGTTCCAATTGTTTAGAGTGTTGTAAAATGTGACTGTTAAGTAAGGCATTTTCAGGAGTTTGGGGAACATTATTAAAGTTCATTTCCATTGTGCAGCTGCAGGAGTTGGAATTATGGAAGTGAAGAAGCTGTAAAATCGAAAAGGTCAGTAATGACATTCATCTATTCCAGCTGTCAAATCAAGGGAATGTTAACAAAACTAGTCTCTGGTAGAAAAGCTAATTGTCTACTTGTATTTTGGCTGCCCCAATACACATACTCTACTGTGCCTAACCCATAGGAAAGACCACACTGGAACAGTAAATCATTTTTTGAACAGCCTCCTTATAAACAAATAAACCTAATTTCCCTAATGATTCTATAACCTAAATCTATCTACAAAGCAGCCTAAAGTTTCAAGTTTAAAGAAAACAGTATGTGAGTAAAGTTCATGTAATCCTGGAAACTGAGTTTTCAGAGTGCTGAGAGTACAGGGCAAATTTTAAATTTTACACTAATGCAGTCCTGCAAGCAGCATTTACAAAATGCCTCCTGCCAAGGCATGTTTTATTATAACAACATATAGAAAAGTTTCTTTCACAGACCAAATCTTTTATAAATGACCTGGATTTAACCATCCCACAGTGTGAGGTACCATGAGGTGAGACAGTGCAACTGTAAGACACCTAAACACAAATCATCAGTGGAGACTGAGTCTAAGACCTTTGTTATGGAATGACAGGCTCCTGCCACGTGCAGAAAGAGCCCTCATCAAGAAACAGTGAGAAACTCATGCTTTTCATGATGCACCAAATCCTGCCTTATACAGAGAAGGACAGTCCTCAGGAACCAAGGCCAAAGAAGAGGGCCTGAGATGTGTACCATGCAACTCAGTGGAGGGAATCCAGCGATGAACCTACACAGTTTTATTGTAAGCCCCCTTGGCTATTTTCTGTTGTTCTCTGGGTTTGTATTTTCACCCTATATGCTGCAGCTGTTACCAGAGCTTTATCAGGACAGCGTGAACAACCCCACGCAGCTGACACTCGGTGTGAAGACAGTATTGCCATAGTGCACATATAGACCACCTCAGATTTTTATTTGTCCTGTGTCATGTAATACAAACGTGACAGAAAAAATCCAACTTAACCAATAACAACAAAATAATAGGTCAATATGTGGCTTTCTGGGTTATTTTAAAAATCTTTCTCCTATCTGACTTGTTTCCTATGCAGAAGTGTTGCAAAAGCTACAAACAATACCAGCAATTCATGAAATATTCAGGTGTACAGTTGCAATTCTTTAATAAATGGGAGTGACCTTCAAAACAGACATCTCAAAGATTAAGAGAACTTCTCAAAAGATGGCATTTGTCACTAATCAATGACTTGAAGAATTTACACTTTTCCTAGCAATGAATACAAAAAAGACCTCTCAGGATTATACCACTTTAAAAGCAAATCATTCACAAAACCCACAAAAAAGAACATTAATGAGCTAACAAAACAGCAGAATAAACAGAATAAAACACCAAACAAGGAAATTGAAAGGATAAATCCCCTTGTGCCTGTCAGTACCTACATCCACGTCTGGATTGGTGGAAGGCCACTGACACATCCATCTGCTGTTTCCATGGACTGGACAATGCTTTTCACACTAACTATATATCTTTTATTGTGATACTGTACATCAAAATACTTATAACACTTTACAAATGGATTTCCTTTTTCATAGTCACACAAGAATCTTGGCTCTAACTGGGTCACTGTACTGGAACAGGTGTAATCTCAGCAGAATACTGTAGGAAATCTGGGCTACATTAATGACTGATCCAATTACAGCGGAAATCTCTAGAAAACCCAGAATTATTAAGAACCAGGAGATAATTACAATGTACTTCTAGGGATGACCAGATGGACAGGCCAGTCTCAAGCTCTTTAAGGGCACTGGAGCTGAACAAGAGGTTCTTATGCCATTGCCTACGTAGTTGGAGAAATTCCCATTCTGAGGACATGCTGAAAAAGCTGGAGGCTCACTGCAGACACCTGGGGGGACTCAGTCTCAACACATCCTAGCCCAGGAAGCAGCATGGCTTACATGCTGCTGTGAGGAAAGGGTGACAGAGGAAAAGGTATCCAGTAAAGAATGACAGCAGGAATCAAGAAACCCCAGGCAGCTTTTTGTCCAAGGAGACTATTTACACAAAAGAGCTCCTTGTGACTTAATATCAGGTCCTCTTGACAAGCTACATTTTCTCTCCTGAATAGGAAATAAATGCCACCTCCCAGGTGCCAGTCTGATCTCACAGATAGAAACACAACCATCTAACACAGATTTGGACCAGAAAAAGAGAATGAAAAATACTTGAGAAGTCTGAGTATAAACAACCCTTTTACCAATCCAAATGTAGGTTAAACTCCATAGCAGCCTCTGTGATTTTGGTAACATGCTTCATCAGAGGGACCTGCCCTTGTCTCTAGTAAAACTGCATCTGTGAGTAGTCCCATTAAGGTAATTTGGATCTAAGAGGATGTCTGGAGTTAAGCATTTAGTTAATTAGGAACTTTGCTGAATCAAGGTCTTTTTTTTTCAGCTAAATATTTTCCCTAAGAAGATATATTAAACAGTAGAAGATAATATTTCTAGTTTATAGAACTTCCTGCCAACTTCAAGCTAGTAAATATTTACATTTTAGCCGCTGATAGCTAATGTGACCTTTCTGTTATACACTTTACACCTGTGTTATATTTTACTTTCAGTGTTAACATTCTTTCTAGTCCATCTTTCATTAACAAGCAGTATTTAAATATATGCAAATTTCATATTTTAGCTGATGTTTTAGGAACATTTTTAAGGTCACCCTGTTTGATCTATCACACAGACATAGCAAATTTATGCACCATATATCCTATCTCTACTTGGTTTTTTACCTACATCTGTCTTCTCTGATTGCATTTGAATGGGATTATTTTCTATTTTAAATAAAAGATTTATGCCTTAGCTGTCAGTTTGCCTTTATTTGAAAATTTAATTTTGTTTCTAGAAGTCTAGATTAACTTATTAGATTTAACTGTCCCTTGTGCACTGCAGCAATAGCAGAAGTATATTTCCCCCTGTGGATAGAGTACATAAACAAAATGCTCTTGACTTAAAAATAAAGAATGTTATTACTCAGACCAGTACAACATAGTCTAGGATACAAAAACTGATGTTGTCATTTTTAATAATGATGGTGACAAATGGGAATTGACTAATAAATATGACAACTCACAAATCCAGCAGCCTCCAGAACCTGGGAAATGCTTTGCAGAAAAGGCATGCTCCCCCAAAAGTGTCCCCTGCACTTAGGTTAGTGAACATCCTTTCTTGACACAGCACCACTGGGACACACAACTTGACACACAACTGATACTAATGGATTTATTGAAATGAGGAAGAAATGAGAAACTGCACCACTGTTTCCAGTTAGTCAGAGGGCTGTTTATTGATCCTGTGTGGTATATCACATCTTCAGTGTGACATGTTCTTTAGCCTCTCTCAGCAGTGCTACATTCATAATATTATCTCTCAAGTCCTGGAATTTTAGGGCTTTCCTGAAGGGATAACCATCTCATTGCAGTTGCTATCTGTGGTCCTGGCAATGTTGCAAACAGCTGAGTTCTCTGGAGCAGGGTGGGGGGTGCCTGGGGGAGGTTAATCTTTTCAAATGTGTTCATACATTTTGACACTTTTTCCCCATTTTTCATTTCTAGAAGTACCTGGGCATCTGACCAGTTCTCTTATTTTCTCTTCACACTGTGACATCCACATAGACCCAAACAGAATCTGGTTTTAATCAACCTCTACAACTCTTATAAACACTCAAACCCTACAGCTTGTGATTCTGCACTGTCAGCAATATGCAGTGGGAAAGAGAAAACAAGAAGCTGAAGGATGAGTATTTACCTATGTTAGTAAACCTTCAGTCACAAAGTGACAAACCTTGTCCTGGCTCCCTTTGTTAAATACTGAACATCATGAAAACAGGTCTTTTGAGGAGAAAGTGGGAATCCCTTATACAAAGAAAACAATGCAGGTACGTGATGGCTTTTATCATTCCCAAAATATCAGCTGAGAGTTCAATGGCATACATGACTACAAGCTATTTAATATAAGCAATGGTGAAGAACAGCATGGCTACCTCCTATTAAGGGAGGACAGGGCAAAGCTGAACCTGTTTGGCAGCCTTCAGTCTGTGTCACTATATGCATAAAGTGCTACCAGATCCAAGTAATTGCAGTAACTGGTCAATCTTGACATCAGCCCAGTAAAAATTAAGTGAAAATACCACAAGGCACAGTCTCTATGTATACAATGCCATCAGCACAAAGTGGAGCCTTCCCAAGGTTCTTGGAAAATCTTGTCAGCTCACAAACACTCTAAGATACATGTTTTAGGCACACTCATGAGTATGAGCCTCCTGCTGTCCTATCCTGCTAAAGAATACGTGACCTCTATGGCATGGAATGACCACACCAGGGGAGGTACTGGGCAGGTAACCACCCAGCAGGGAGGGCTTACACTTATCTGCTTTCTTGTTAGCAGGTTCTTCTGCTGAGGAGCACCAGTAAAGCCACTCCAGCCTATTGTTCTGCTCTGATAGCAAAAATTCATCAAGGATGTGTTACATTAAGTCTTATACCTTTCAAAACATCATACCAGACAATAATAAAAGGCTAAGACCTGCAAGGAAGCAAACTGTACACTACAGACTTAAAGATTTCTTCATCATGCTTAAGAAGTAGAATATATTATCACAACAATTATTTTGTTACAGATAGCACCTTCGAACACCAAATAAATTGTACAAACCACTGCACCAGCACAGCTGAAAAGACTGCTCCTCCTCCAAAGTAGTGTCACTTTGATTTAACAAGTAATTAATGAATACATAAACCCCGGACAGAACTTTAATCTATCCCAGTGCCAAATAATTAATCATTCATTCCACGTTTAATCCTGTTCTGATAAGTGTAATTAATATTTCACCATGACACTGCAGAATAGAACAGTACCTGGGAGCAGAGAAGCCTTCCATTTCTCCTTTGTTGTAACTCTGAAGTGATAGCTGCTGTCTACAACTGACAGCTAATCCAGAATACAGTGTTCCCCCACAGTTGTAAATTAGGGTTTATGCATGGCATATATTGTGATTGTAATGAGCCTTTTCTTCTTCTGACCTATAATTAAAAAACCACAAAGCAACAACAACAAAACAAAACACAACTATGAAAAATAAGTCACCTGATCTCGGTCAACCATTTTTCTGACCTGACAGCGTTTGGGAAACCAGAGCTTGCAGTAATGTTTTGGTCTATACAATGTCACTGAACATGTGCCAGAGATGTGGACAGAGAACAAAGCATGTGCAGATTGTCTGCTTCTGTCCACAGAGAGCAGTGCTGTGAGAAAAAGCACTGGATGAAGATTTAAGTCCTAATTTTACCACAGGAAAACACTGGCATCTTTTTTGAAAGCTTGAAGTCTAATCAAGAAACATGTTGATGTGTACAAAATAAAATTGCAGGAAATCCTGTGCTGATTTTTTTCAGGGTGACACATCACAGGTATCCATATATTTCAGCAAAGAGTTTTGCGGGGAAGATTGTATAAGAAACAAATTGCTTTGGGATCCTGCTGCCCAATTACTCAGAAACAGAGGCGTCCCTTCAGCGTTGTCTCCTTGCTCAGCATTCTCCAGTACGGCCACAAATTCTTCTCTCTAAACAAATGCTAACTGTACTATTATAATTTATTCTCATTCAAATGCAGAAAAAAACCCAAAACCCTTGATCAAGAATACCAATCGTTCTGACAAGGTTTTACAAGACATTCAGCTTGTGGCACAAAACCCTCCCAGAGTCATGTACTGATGCTCAGACAAAGGCAGCTGTAATATGTCCCCTTCCTAACATGCTATATCATGCTGCTATCCCAGTTATCATTAATCTGATTCTCCATTATGTCACAAATCAGTAAAGAGACAACTTTCAGATGGGGGTCTCTGGTGAAGTAGGACTAAATAGAGGCACATGGAACAAGGCAGTTTTAATTTTGGGACCTGTCAAGACCTATTTTATGTGCAAACTAATTTGCACACCTGCTAACAACTTATCTGAGGTGACTGATATTTTTAACATCTAGATGGCAATTCGAGCCAATTATGCTGGACAGAATTTACACAGTTACAGAGAACTGCAATTTAGGATCATGGTTTTATCACCTGAGACTAATTTCAAAATGCTTTGATTTTCATTAGCTCTAAATACTTTTAAAATGCACCTAACTTCTTGCTACCTGAATAGAATCTACAGCTGTTAGGAACCTGAGTCATACTCCTTTTACAGAACACTTCTCAATGCAAAAATAAGACCTAAGTATCTAGTAAGTGCTAGTTTTGTAAGAAACAACTGACCTGATTAGGAGCAATGAATCACTGAGCCAAGTGTCCTGCCTCAGCCAGCACCTGAAGCTTCAAAGGAATGCCCTGGCCCCACAATAAAACCTAAATGATAGGTTCAGTTCTTTTGCACAGCAGACAACTTAAAAACTGATCTATACCACATCTTTAACTTACGCTTGCAGCAGTGGATGATATTTATACCCTTGTACCAATAGTCACATGGATTTGTTGGCCAGCTGCTGCACTGTCACCTCATTTCTGAGTCCCACAAGGAAACCTTTTCCATATTCATGAACACTGCATTAATTTCTAAGATCCTGGAAACCCTCACTGAAGCTATGTGTTATAATTCAGTTGATTTTTTTTTTTTTTTGCTTAAGATCAACAAAGCCTTAATTCACTGTAGAAACAGTGTCAAGTGATATTTCATATACACACATGATATTATATCTTTGCTATTACGTGTGGATTTTATTTCTATTCATTCATTCTATTTATTTAAAATAAGGGGAAGATTAAATTGATAGACATGAATGTACCATTCTACCTTAGGTTTTATGAGATTGCATTATGAAGAGGAACTCTTGTAGGAAAAACATATTTCTACTTTATAAGAAAACCAATGTTAAATTGAAATGGTAGCTATCAGCCAAGGCTAGACCCTTTCATGCTAATATGACCTTCAATTAGTGAAGCACACATCTTGAGACCCAGCCATTTTATCAGACACACAGGATAGGATAAGGAAATGTTGGTATCCTTGAAAAATTCTACTTTGAGGTGACCTTCTACTTAGCCAGGCTCATTATGCAAAACAAAAATAATTGTGCATCTTATTTCTGGTCTCACTTTAGAAGGTTTTCAGCAAACTTCAAATTACAAATAATGATTTAACTCATGGATTTATGCTAATACATAGCAGCTCAGACAGTCAACACATGCATCCTCTACAATTCCCCTGAGACACTGGTTTACAGAGTTTTCTTTTACTTAGCAGCAACAGCTATTAGCTTTTACTTAAAAACACTACACATCCACTTGGGTCCAGTCTTTTTAAATAGTACATACCATTGGGACACCCTGAAATAGCAAAGAACTTGATGGCCCCCCCTCACAGTAGTTTTCTCACTGAGGTGTCCAAATAGCAGCAAAGTTCATCTGAAAATGTGGCTAACTTCAATGCTGAAGTAGCAGAATCACGAGATTTCTTTTATTCTCATCCAGAAATAAATCACCTTTGACATGACAAACAAGTGGATATATGCCATACTCCATTTGTAAGCTATAATACATTCAAGAAGTTTGTCGTGCTAAACAAATGTTTTTCCTAGCCAGAAGGAAAATCAATGAGATCACCATGTGGAATTTTCTCTAATTTTTTCATGAGCCCTTTCAGCAATGTGCTGTAAGCAACAATAGAGTTCCATGCAATGCTTATTTATAAACAGCTATATTTCTTTCAAGATTAATATTAGAATACAGATAATTAAATTAGAGAGTACCAAATTAGAAACAACAAATACAGGTAAGAGATCTTAAGGTCTCTTGACTATTAGAAAACAACCACCAGAACTAAGAACAGTGAAGAAGAGTTCATGAGGCTGGAAAGGATAGTAAATCATCATAAATCTCAGAACTGAAAGACAGAACAATTGGTGAAAAAAGGAGATCTTCCTGAAAAGATCAGAGAATTGGCAGGAATGGAGGGGGATGCACAGGGAGAGACAGCTGGTATATGTTACCATTGCTGACTGAAGTCAGGTGAGATGTAACAGCTTACATAAAAGGATTTGGCTGTGCAAAACAATAGACAGGATGAGATAATAGGTACAATGGGATCATGTTATATTGTTAGTACAGGAGAGAGAATCTAAAATAAACTTTCTTGTACAATACCTATACACTTCCCTTTAATTTTCTGGCATGATCTGGGGACTCAAATATGTCACATTACTTTTTTTTTCTTCTTTCCAAACTTGCCTTCTCTTCTGAAACTGTTTCATTTATACCCCTCTTTGTCTGTGCCTGTCATCATTTCTCCACGTCTCCCCAGTCAAGTTGAGGATCGAAACATTCCTGGGTCTTTCAGCATATTCATACAGATCTCAGACTGGGGGGATTGGCTGACTGTTGTTTGGATTGTTGTTTTGTTATGATTTGGCTTGGCTTTATTATTATTTTATTTTTTTATTATTATTTGTGGGTTTGGTTGGTTGGTTTGGGTTGGTTTTGTTTGGCTTTGTTTTTTTTCTTTTGGCTCTTTGTTTATTGATTTTTACTTAGTTAAGCGTTTAAAATCAAAGTGCATTTTGAGCACAGCCTTGTCACCAAACTGGACGAAGGAAATATATCCAACAACAATTTGATGTGAACAAGCAGACACTTCTTTATTCAGCTTGCTGGGAACATGGGAGAATTCTCCTCCAAACATATTCCACTTAGCAATAAAATCCATTCATTTTTATACCTTTCTGTTACATAAGCCCATTCTTCCATTCATTTATATACTTTTCTGTTACATAAGTCCATTCTTAAGTGTAACCATTACAATGATTGGCTCCATAGGCTATATATCTTTATCCAAAACCAATTATTGCTCAACTCTAATTAGCTGTACTGATTGGAATCCTAGATACTCAGATCAAGATGGGGAGGGTAAGGAGATTTCCAAGCAGTATACATGGTCCAGTAACTTCTTGGTGAGGTGTCCATGGTTGCATACTTCAAACACAGCACTCCCAACAATTCTATACATTATGCTGCACAATTTTCTACCTTTAATCAAACCACTCCTTTTATAGGATCAGATCTCAATTACTTCACTGCAACTACTTCTTCTATATGATCAAATCTCCTTGTGGTGGTATGCTTAATCAAATAATTGGGCACACAATCTGCTATTTTTGAGTGCAATTTGTTAATATTTACCACTTTCTTTTTTCCTAAAAGATATTAACAGCCAGAGAAACGAGTCCCTGGAAATGCTTTCCTCTTTTCCCCCTTTTTTTCCTCTTTTCGAGTCAATGAACAGGCAGTGAGCGGCGGTTTCTGCGGCACCAGTGCCACCTGCTGCCCCATCCCGGCAGCACAGGAGCCGCACGGAACTTTCCTCACTGAAGTGTCCAAATAACAGCAAAGCAAAATATTTTTTTTTGTTATTAATTTCATGGGGGACAGCCCGATCCCGCAGCATGCCCTGCAAAGCTCCTGCTGGCCGAGCAGGTCAGTAATATTTACGTGACATTTTCCAGCAGAGCAGTTCTAAAATCCTGGCTTTCTCTGCTGTAGTGAAAAAGGATAAAACCAGCACAGGAAAAAAACTGGTATGATTCTGATTAAGTGCGGCCACTAATGTAAACAGTGAAGTGGGAGGCTGTCAACTTGCTCCCCAGAAACACATCCAGCGCCTCTGTTGGAGCATCTCATGGGGCTGAGAGGGTTGAGATACAGGTGTGGTGGCTGACCAGGACAGTATATTAAGAAGAGTGTAGCTACATTTCCTAGACTAATATTTCTAAATCATTTCTTTAGAGTAAAGGAATTTCTCATCTTCCAGGATCATGTTCTGTCAAGCTGTCACAATAGCTTAATTTACAATCAATTAAGACACATGCACTGTTAATTTTGCACGCACACACAAACTTTGCTTGCTTGCATTTGTGGGAATATGCTTAGGGTTTTTTAAGAGGAGAGGGGTTTTTTCTCTTCACCACAGTTTGACAGAAGTCCTTCTGATGTCTTACAGAGCAGCAGTGTCCTACAAGACAAGAGCCTGAGAAATAGCCCCGCAGATGGAGCTGCAGGGATCCTTCATTTATCAACTACGTGATTCGTTTGATGTGGACCAATACTTGCTCTTGGCTTTGCTCTCTTTGCTCTTTGTTTTTTGTCGCTGTGGTTTTGGGTTTTGGCATATTTGGTTTGGTTGGGGTTTTTTAATTTGTCTTGTGTTTATAATATCTGCAGTAGATTCTTTTATGTATAAAAACATAAAATCATGTATTGTACACAGGTAGTAAAAACACTGATTTGCTACTGCAGTGTGTTTCTCAAACTAGGTGAGTTCATTTAGGCAATGTACTTTATCAAAGCTGTGTTTTGCCCACAGCAAAACAAACTGTCAGCTGTTACAGAAGAATAATTATTTTTCATATTAAAATGTGGCTATATGACAGCTCATTGTATCCATTAAAACAACCACCTATTCTTCAGTCTGGAATCAGAACTGCTTTCAGAGAGTATCCAGCTTGCTACTGAAATGATTTAAGTAGGTCGAGTGTAACACTGTAAATATGACCAAGGCAAAAAGCCAGTCAATAAAACTGTCAGTTTTAGCCTAATAAAGGAGGAAGGCCTTTGCTATTTCTCTGTAGCAGACAGTTTATTGTCCAGCTGTATGCAACGACTTCAGGGCATCTGGCCACTTAATCACTGAGTATCAAGTCCAGAATACCAAAGGAGCCACAAGCAAAATAATCAGTGGTCTAATTTTCTTTAGTACTGAAGACCCTGCAAACAGCTCTGACATCAACAGATGGTTTTGGTGTAAAATGAACAAGATTTCAACATTCCTGGTGGCTGTTAGAAAATGACAAAGAGTTTTGATGGAACAACAGTCTGAAGAAGCACATACTGCCTAGGCGAGGTTACATTGCTTATATTGTGGGGCATAAGTCTGGGGAAGATAGGAGGGCATTTATCTCAACCAGTAGATGGTAGCCTTGTCCCCGTGCTGCCTTAAGCCACAGTGGTTCCAGCTGGAAGCACACACAACAGTCTCAGCCTAAGACAGGGTGGCTGTTAACTGTTCTATTTGAAAACAAGGCACTTGGTTTACCTGTAATCTAATTCAGAGGCAAAAAGGATGGGCTCAAGACTATGCCAAAACAGTGTGGTCAATGCTCAGTACTGCTGGTGTGCAAGGCAAGGGCATTTTTGCTGTAGTTACCCTGAAGCAGCTCCTGCCCAGACTGAAACATCACCGAGTTACACAACTAAGTGAACCAACTCCTTCCCCCTGCAAACCCTTCTGTAAGGCCTCAGGTAATCCTGTGCACATGGAAATCCCCTTGCTTTAGCAAACACATCAATTTCTCACTTTCATTGCTACAGATTAGGGCTTAAAAATAGGCTTGACATCTGGATTTTCTGGTTTACACAACAGATTTAAAGTTCAATATATTGATATGAGCTGTAAGGCTTGTTTCCTTCAGGGTGCAATCAAAGCACGTGGATTTCTATAGCTACAAGTGCACAGCTTTGGCATGACTGCAGGTGCAAAAGCTGCTGTGGGAGCCCATATGCAGCTGAGGTTAGACTGGACTGTGAGACCGTGTTGGTGGGCAGTGTTGGCCTATCTGTGTTCCCACTTCTGAAAGGGATCTCACATCCTGTGCTTTAACCAACTTCCTCCAGGATAGTTCTGGAAAGCAATTCTGCATCATGATGATGCCTGCCCTCATCACCATGTTCTGAGGACACACTGCTGCTCCCTGTCTGATGAGTCTATCGGGGTCTGTGTTATCTCACAAAAAGGACAGCCATGGATCAGGAAAGCCATGAGGCTTAAGTGATCTACTTCTCACACCTGTGCACTCAGACGGTCATTACAAGGAGGTTGGGCTAACACAGACACTGAATCTGCTGCAGAACTGATGGGAGGCAGTTACCAGCTCATTTGTTTAGTTGTAGTAAATTGTCACTAAATCCCCAGGCACTCTCAGACTATGGAGACTTCCAGGATACCAAAAGGGAAGCATTAATACATTATATGGAGGAGGAAAACAAGAGAAGGACACAGGGTATTAGAGGTAAAAATAGGAAAAAATTCACAAATATCCCTTCTTTTCGGGTGAGTTTCTCCTCTACTGATATACAGAGCTGTCCTCTGTCACCTACCATTTTGTCTGTGCTTGTTCATCTGTGGAGAAATCCATCTGATGAAATGAAACATTTCGGCCCCAAAATGAGGTAGCTGCTAAGTGAGAGTACTGGCTTCACACAGCCATCAAGGCAAACGCCTTAGGACTGAGCTGTTCAACCTGCAATGGAAAACAATTTTGCTTTTTTTTCTTCCCACTGGGCATAAGTCTTCCCTGTCTCTCTGTTGTGCTAGTGAAAGCAAATTTCACTGGAAACTGAATCCATTTACAAATATTTTGACAGATTGAGACAGTTGCTCAGGAAAAAAAAATGATTAAAAGTATGCAGATAAAATATAGTGTCGTGTGAACAGCTGCTGCACAGACCCACAGCCTGTGTGGACATCATTTTATTTATGCTTTTTAAAGGCTATGTGGGTGTCCCTGTAAAACAGAAAGAACGTGAACATTACTCCTGTTGGTGATAAATTAGAGAAAAATCTCAGATGATTAATCCTCAAAAATGTGCAGTCTTGACTTTTTTCTTTAACTTTTTTGTCAGGAAGATATACATGCAAAATGGTACCAACACTGCTCTTGTATACACTCACACATCCCATTCTATAGATCTCACTGGCAACTCCCTTTGAGGCTGTCTCTGTTTCTGACTGGAACAGGTCATTATGTGTGTGCCTCAATCCATCACTTTTGAAGTATCCTGCAAAGAGATTGCCATTAGAAGCCAGTGCAGCAAAACCAACTATCTTCCATCTAAAACATGACTTGCATTTTTGTATCACATCTTATTTTTCTAATATTATATTACCTCTCTATACAGTTACTCTTCTGTAGGGACAGGGACCATGCTGTATCTACTTCTCCTGTACCAATTACTGCTATTTTAAGACTGTGTAGAAATGTCTGCAAATAAATATTAGCTGGAAGTTTCTGATGCTTTCCCCTGACACTGTCATTGGAACATTGTGGCCATAAACCCCCTTGCCTATGGCAGTTATAATTGATTTTGTTTTAAATTCTGGACTCCTGAGCAGTGAAACACTCTAAGAGTTCCAAATACCAGGATCAGCCCATAAACAAAGGGCAACAAATTTCAGATGCAGCTGTTGCACTGAGTGACATGAACGGACAAACTGCTTCTCCATAAATGCCAGTATTTGCTACAACCTGTCTTGCCAGGCACTATATAGAGCACTGACAATCTGCACAAAGCTGTGATGCTGACTGCATATATGCAGACACACTTTCTCACATTTTCAGAACTTTTGACACCCAAATTCACATACTCAATCCAACACTAGGAAACAAAACATCAGTGGGAGAAAAATAGTTCAATATCCATTGCTCTCTGAGAGTTCAAGTAATCTTTTCACAGAGTAAGGCTGCAATATCTAGATAAAAAACATTCTAGTTCAGCTGGATCACCACTTAAACAGAAAATGGAAGCACAGAGTGTTCAGACAGCAACCATGAAGCTGCCTTGCACAGTCAGAGCCACAATGCATGTGAGCTACCCCCAGCACGACACAATCCATGAATGAGAGAGCAAGGTCAGCACATTTGCTGACTCCTGCCTGGCCCCAGCCAGAGCAGGGCAGATGATATTCCAGGCCCTCACAGTGCTAAAGCAGCTCCTGGTCTCAGACAATCAGCACCATAAGACACCCCTACTCTTAAACACAGGAAGCCTCACAGTACCCAGCATGAGGTTGTAAAGAATTTAGAGGTGAAGGGGATATGCTCACCCAAAGGCAAATCTTGCAAGGATAATTTGGAATAGTGCTGAGAGTTTTAAAGAGTGAATCACCCCATAGCAAAAAAGGTAGTAATAAAAATAATCTATAAATGCCCTATTCAAATGTACAAGATGTCTCTTACTGCTTATTGCCCTTTGAACATTTTCCTTGTCAAATTCTACTTTACAGCCAATGAAAAAAAATATCCACAGCATTTCATAATGACAGGGCACAGCTACTTTAAGGCTGCTGATGAATAAGGAGGCCTTGAGCACTGCTATGGCCGTGCTGGATTTTTTGTTGTTTGCCACATCAGAAAACAAATGCCAAACCACTTCATTCAGGGTCTTCTATTCATCAATCCCTTTAGAAAAAAAAAAAAAAAAAACAGGAGCAAAAGACCGGCAGTAGAAATAATAACAATAATGGCCAGTCTTCGCGAGCGAAGATCCGGGGAAGGTCTTTCCACCTTCCAGCCTGCGCATTGGATTTTTTTAGGTGAGACACAGTGTGCGCGGAACTGAGCCCACCCTTTAACCCTAAGGTTCATCTGCCGGGGCCAAGCGAGCTTGGACGGTGGCAGTGAGGTCCTTAGGACGTAGGTGGGTTGCCTTTAAGGGCTAACGAGCCCCACCTGCCCGGGAGTGGCCCTGACCGGGAATCGAACCCGGGTCTCCGCGGTGATAGCGCGGCGCCTTTACCCCCTAGACCACCAGGGGCTCCACGGCAGTAGAAATAACACTGTGTGGAACAACATTCTCAACACCAGTGCCAGCTTACTGGGGAGCTGCTCATGAACTGGTACACCAGCTTACCACCATGCCCTGCTCAGGGAACAGGGACTATTTGGCTCATATTTTCTTTTGCATTGAAAATTTGGTGAGCAACAACTGAGTGTACATTTAAGAAACCTGTTCATAGCATTGGACATCAACAGCTGGATTATGTCTTTACAACTGTTTGTCTTTTGAAATTGTGGTGCATTTGCTGACCCCTGATTAAAAGGCTTTTTTTTTTGGACCAGGGTGGAAAGAAAAAAATATCTACATATTCACATAGGATGATAAAAAACGTGTCACATCACAGGAAGGAGAACAAAGGGAACAACAGCTACCTGCATACCTGGGAAACTGGCACCATGTCAGCAGTTATTGGGGTCTGCCAGGAGCGAGGATGGGGCTCAGGAACACTCAGGGCAATCAGCCTGCGAACCACAAAGCAGAGTTTACCATCTGGTCCCTTGAGAGGAAAATACTGCAACTTCTAACCTTACACCAACAGTTTCAAACAGATTTTAAAAAGAAAGCTTTCTGAACTATGGAATTTATTTTTTTTATCACTTTGTTTAGAAATACTAAGTAGGTGCATTTACCACAAAATTTCTTCATGATAAGATATATTCCAACTTCATGAAGAAGCTTACACTACTGTTAATTAAGATGAATAGTTTCAGGAGATTCTGAGAAAAATAACACCTATACTCATAAAACTTGATGACAAGATCTGATGTGTTAGAGAGAAGAGTGATTACTCTAATGCACTATAATGCTTGATACATAGTCTCACAACTCTCCCCTGCTGTGCTTTGTATAGCCTATGAAGTCAACAAAGCACTGATAAAGAAACAAATTAAAGGTAGGATTCACATGATTCATACTTCAATAGAGAGGAATTAAAATAGATAATGGCTCCCAGACACAGAGGAAAAAAAATAACGATTTTCTTGTAGTATTTCAGCCCTGACCCCATTAGAACTTTGTGATACTGCAGATCCATCCTCTCTCTAATTAGTCCATACATTAAAAGTCACCTGACTTTAAATTATGATTTACAGCTACAACATAAAAACTTGGTACTCTTGCATGGCAGCTGGATATAGAAAAAGTTGTATTCTTAAAGTACATGCTTCAGGAGCAAAAATAACTGTTGTAGGGAATTTGCAAATACCTTTGTGCAGCAGTAAGTCCCCTGCAGGCTGCTGCTGGCAAATGGCAGGTCCTGTCAGTGGAGCAGGATTTTCCACATCCCTCACTTCCTTTCCCTGTCCCTGGTTATTAAGGTTTGGAAACACTATAATTATCTTCCTATTAAGCCCACTCTGCATGAGGCTTTATACTCTGCTTTTTAACTTGCCTTCTTTTTCCATTCCTTCTTTAAACAAAAACTTTGTTGCTACCAGTTCTAATTTTAATCGTAAGAGTTTTCATGAATGGTGCTTCCCATCCATCTTGAACACACTGAGTTTTTTGGTTTCACTCTGCAGCTGTGCTGGCCCCTGCATGGTGCCTTCCCAGCCTTGTAATTATGAACAGCCATAGGGGAAGGAACAATTAAAACATACCTCGATTGTCACATTGATTTGACTGGAATTATTTACAAATAGACTTCTGGAAAACGAATATATGTAAGGAACTTATCACCCACAGTTGGGGTGGTGACATTTGTTAGGAGACTCAGAGAAGTAAGGTGAATTGTTGATTCTTTTAAGTCCCATTGACATTATTTGCATGGCCTCCTCAATCCATGAAAGGGTCTCTCACAGCAAATGACTCCAGGCACCCACAGACAGTTTTATGTGGTAAACAAAGTGCCACCAAGTGAAGGCTGAATACCTCTGTGGTCTTTGACTTACTCAGATGCCACACTGAAATCCTTGCTAGGTGGAAAGGCGGAACTCACCATCACAGTCACAAAAAACATCGGTCACTCCCATCTCCTTTGAAGTGTGAATCACATCCATGGCAAAATGAAGTATTTCAGGTGTTTAACCCTTAATAAAAGAGCAAGAACTTGGACAGCACAGGGGCTCAAGCCCAGGAATTTTCTAAGTGCACTTGGCAAGCCGTCAAACCCAGAGTACCTGTTCTAGTAACACACCACACAGGCAGCTGAGCCCACACACAAAACACAGAGCCAGTTTGTACTGTCCTAAACACTGCATAGTTGTTCATAACAGGCCAAAGCACATAGAAAAGTATTAGAACAGATACATCTAGTACTGTTACACTCTTTGTGTCACCTTCATGAAATGCTCAAGAAAACCCTCCACATAAACAGATGTGGTGGGGTTTTTTTAAATCTATTGAACTGTAGGAGAAAAGAGAAAAATAAACCAATTGGCAAATAACGTATTTGAGAAACATCATATCCCTGGTATAAAGTGTTTGATGAATGTTTGAGAATCTCTACCTTTCACTATAGATCTACATTCTTATCAAGCCTGAACAGCTGTTCTTAAGCTTCTCCTCATCCAATGAAACAGCAAAGTGACCTCACTGAAAATTTCTTTCCATGGACTATTTTCACCTGCATCCTCCTCAGCTCATCTCTCTCAATTTTAAAGAAACAAAGGAACTGAAGAACTGCTTAAAGGTGTAGGTGAGAAGCAGAATGTGACCACTTCACTAGTGCCACACAGTAACAGCAATCTCATCCTGTAGTCCTTTGTTTCTGAACACAAAAGACATTTGCCCTGGTGACAGCAGCACTGTGTTGCCAAAGCTGCAGTGGCACCAACAGCCTTGAGCAGGGCACAAAAGCACAAACACTTTTCCTCTGAGAGACCTTGACAGCAGTGCCCAGGAGCCCACAGCTTTGAGTACCATGAGAAACAGCTTGCTACTTTTCTGTACAATAAAAATATTCAGGGCTACCAGCTGCTGACAAGAATTTGCCAAAGAGTTTGCTGTTCAGGCGAGACAGTGGAAATGCCACAGTAAAACTCTTCAAGGGGCTTCTGAGCTGAGTCTTGCTAATTATGGTCGAATATATAAAAGTCATCATTGTGTTTAAACATCATTTTTGATATAGAATCCTGGGCCTAGTTACACCTTTTATTTCTCCTGTGCTCAGCACAACACAACAGGATACATTTTAACTAGTTCATTGTCTAAAGAATCTCTATGTATATTCATGGCTTGACTACAGGATTCTTCTGAATATATTGTGCATTGCATAGCTGGGCACAACAGAGAATAATTGCTCAAAATGTGCTCTCCCACTCCAAGGTAAACACTAAAAACTGATTTTAGTAAATGTTTGCACTGTCTTATACCAGTTGAGTATTTCATATGCTCTGTGTTAGGCAAATGAGTTGTCCCAGGGTATTAGGTTCATGGGCTGTTTGCAGTTCTATAAAGCTCTCATCACACCTACTCATTAAAATAATTTGGGATATTGAACTATTGAACATCAAAAAGGGCTCTGCAATGCAAATAGTCATAGTCTCCATTGTACTGCTTAGAGATTGTCAGCTGTGAGAGCACTTAATGGAACTAAGCTGAACATGAGCAGGTGCTCTGCCTTTGCCCTGTGTGCCAATGAGCACTGGCTGTGAGGTGTCCACATGATCCTGGGACAAACCACAGGAACCTGAACTGTTACAGGCAAACAGGGACTGGAAACAGCAGCTCTGATAGGTCATTCCTTCAACTGCAAAGGGAAACCTTCAGATAAACCTTCCATAAATGCACAGTGATGTCTCTTTGGTGACACAGACACTTCTTTTCCTCACCTGATATCTGTTCTTGGACCTCTTAGGTAGTTTCTGGAAAATAATAAAGTTAATCTAAAATAACAGCAAAGTCACCTTCCCCTGCTTGCCCCATCTCTTTCATGCAGTGAGGTCCTAAACCTAGCAAAATGAAAAATAGCTGTCAGAAAAGCAAAGGAGCCAACAGTAGAACTGGAGATACTTGACAGAGGGCAGCCTGCTGCAGGGCCCAGGGTTTGCTCTGGCTCTCCTGCCTGGACTCCCTGGGGACAGCAGCAGCCTTTCAGGCTGTAGGTACTGAACTGAGAGCTTGGCTGGGGACAACAAAATGAATGCTTCAGTCAAATACTGCTGAGAAAGGGATGTTGATGACTTCTCTCCCTGTCCCAGGCTGCCCACATGGGAGAGTCAACTCACTCTTTTTCACTAAATAAGTATATAGCCTTCCCAAATAGCACATAGCACCTCCATCCCAATCTTCTGATGAAAAGGAACAGAAAAGGTGGAGAACTGTTGCTCAGCTGATGTCTCATCTCCTCTTTTTCAAGCCTTCTCAGTGACTTTAACAGCCAAAAAAGGACAATCGTGTTTTTGGCGAAACTGTAGCAGTACATATAATAGAGAAGCAGGAGATGGCCTTTGGAATCTGCAGTACTCCTGTAAAATAGATGCCCAGTCCAAAAAGTAGCTGGAGCACTTTTGGAGCCAATGTCCAAGTGTCAAATGAGAAATAAGGGATGATTTTCTCTCTTCCAGATACAAAGAGGGCAACACGCTTTTCTCTCTGAAGAATAAGTTATATTGTACAGAAAAAGAAATCCCTCACTGTTCCCATGAATCACATTGTCAAGAATCATAGAGAAAAGAAAACCAGCTCTTTAATAAAAAAAAAAAATAAATTCTGATACTTGGGATATGTATGGTTTGTACAAAGATCCACTAAGAAACTAAATAACAGATGACCAAATCAACTTGGAGGGTACAATGGTGTGCTGGTGGGCACTTCTCTAACTGAAAAGCAAATCTTGACTTTCTGCAATTCTTGCTGAGAAAAATAGACAGTTGCCAGCATTCATCTGTAAAGGCAACCCTCTGTGACTACAAGACATACTGCAGGAGGGAAACAGCAAGCTCTGTTGGGGAGGTAGAGAGAGGAGCTATTGCCCCCATAGCCCAGATTTCCATGAGCAAATCTATATCTGGTTCACAATCCTTTATCCTGCAGATAAAAAAGACCAGAAGAGCAAAGGATGAAGAACTTATGCATGGAAACAAACAAAAATAGACAAGGACTCTGTCCTCAATATTCAGGTCAGAATCTAACTCTGCCCAAAGTTCAGCAACATTCAGCTCGGGTTTTCTTCAAGGCCAAATCTGGGAAAAAGAAAAAATGAAAGATCTCATTATGTGTGTCCATTGCATGGAAAAATCTCTTCAACACACCATGTGAAATGCTTTATATTTTAGAAATCTATCAACCAGATCTAGTGCACATTGAAGTTAACAGAAAGCCTCCCACAGGCTTTACTGGTCTTTGGTTTAGGTTATGTGTTTTAATTCTTTTTTCCTTACAACAGAGAAGCACAGTAAATTATAGAGGTTCTTCTTGCTCTGTTCCCCTCCAGGCTACAGGCAGCATGCACAGAAGCTTCTCTCCATCTTCTTCCATGTTCATCTTTGATGGAGGCTCCATTAAACTCTCCCAGTTGTTACTGCTCAGAAGGATTTAATGACTGGTGTTCAGCTCTAATAGCACTTAAAAATAGCATTTACGTAAGGAATTTATGCTAAAATGGTTTTATGGCTTGCATGAGAATGTAGGAACAACAACAATAATAATAATAATAATAATAAACCAGACAACAATGCCTCTTTTAATCCAAACTCTATGGCAGATATCACTACTTCTAATAGTTAATACAAGTAAAAATATAATCTTGAATCATAATCTCTCATAATTTCATTTTCACAATTAAAATCCAGAGGAAAGAAAAAGACATTTTCCTGTGCTTGTCATAATAGAGATTATACAAACAGAAATGCACTATTTAAATTTGGTTTTTGTAAGTATTAGTGAATACCAGAAGAAATCAATATAAGCAGTGTTCTGTGATCAAACCCAACCTTTCCAAACTTCTGTGTAATGCTCTGGGGGCCATGACTCCTGAATGTATGTAATCAAGTATTTTAAAAGGCCAAACACCAAAACTTTGGTGATTAAATACCCCACTTAGCCCTGGGAGAAGCATTCAACATATGCTTCTTTTGTGGCATTAAACATTAATTTTGTGTCATCACATCCATAGCATATTTTATTACTTTAAAGCAGCATCCCCTAATTGTGTACAATTGCCAGAGAGAAACCCAGAAAATGAGGACTGATATTTGGTGGGAAGAGACATCAGAAAGATCATTTACCATTTTAAAGCAGCAGTAGATGGATGACCAATGAAATCATCCATTCCAAGGCAATTTTCTTCCTTTACTACTAAAAGGTTTCATCCCCTTAGATAAGGCACTCAGTTAAAAAAAAATGCAGGCAGTTCTTCATGATGATGCATTAAAGAGGGTTTGGGGTTTTTTGGTTGTGGTTTTGGTTTTTGTTTGGGGTTTGTTTTTTTTAAACACATTTGAGCATTACTGGGTTTCTAAGTCAGAGAAAAACAAAGTTTCTCTCAGAGGCACATTTTCAGGGAGGAAGCAGAGAGTTTCTTTGCTTGCTGTCAGAAGGTTTAGTATGATTAAAGACAAACTTCAAGTAGTCTTATGAAGCATGCCCAGTCTCATCATCATTAGAAACATTGCTCAAATCAAATGTATTAAAGAGTCCTCATGCAACTCTTTCCAGCCAGTCTCTCGATTGTCTTGTCAGCGTCATGGGACACACTTTGAGCTCTGTTCCATGTTTTGACCACTTTCTAAAACCTCTTACCAACCGTCCCTTGCCTTAAATTCATCTCTACCCAACTGCTCCACCAAATGCTGCCTTCTCCCTCCTGCTCCATCTCATCTGCCACTGCATCCACTCTTTTTCCGCCTGCTCGGGGCTGTAGCCCCAGCTGTTCACACAGCCAGGGAGCAGCGCCGCTGAATTTTGCAAGAGAAGAGCAAGTGCAGCCCTTTGCTTTGTTGAGAGACCCTCTGCATTATTTGTTTCAGAGGCAGCCACCTTCACTCTCGGATTTCTAAATGGGACAGGGGAATTAGGCAAGCATGCCGGCAGATGCCTGTGCAAAAAAGCCCTTTCTTATAAATAAATCTTTCAGATTTTAGTTTGCAAATTAGATTAATAATGCAACTACTAGATAGAATTTAGAGAAATTTGGAACAACACTTTACAAAAGTAAGATAATTAACCCTGTAGCATACGAAAACACTGTCTCAGTATTAATGCATATCTCTCACCTTAGTAACAGGAAGAAGTATATTTTTTTTTCGTTTTGAGCATACCAGGTTCTCAGAAATATAGACTACCACACTATCTAGCTAGAGGCAAGGTTTATAGCCTCTAAACATCAGAGCATCTGCTAGGTACTTAAGGATTTATTCAGAGGCTGCCACGATGAGGCAGTAGCAAGTTGTGGTGAATTCAGCACTTACAGCACAAATGATGCTGTTGAAGTGCTAATTAGTGCTAATTTGACTTGGCCCATTTTGGACCTCTGACAATCACAGCTCTTCAAAAGGAAGCAGGTCCGGCATATGCTCATCTAAGGAAAATTTCCACCTCTCTATTTTCCCATCTATTATGATATTTCTAAGGCAATACATTAAGAAATTTAAAATATCTGTGTTTCCCTATAGTAGCACAGGCCAGCTGCCTCTGCAGATTGATTTCTAGAAGAAAATGTTATACTATGTTTGGCTTAATGGGGATTGTCAAAAGTATTAGAGCAAAGCTAGGAACAAAACATGTCACTGAGTATAGATTTGTGTGTTGAGTTACATACTTGTTCAGAAGTTAATAAAAATAACTTTTTTTTTCCTTCAAATAAGCAAAAACTATTTCCCAAAGAGAGGGTCATGAAGAGAGAAGCCAATTTTTCTACTTTTATCCTCTGCCTTTGGGCCCTGATAACTGTACTTGCCTTTTCCCCATCTTCACTAGATGAATCAGGCTAGTGAAGAAAAACAGCTTAGAGATTCAGTAGGTTCATCCTTTGAGAAACATGATGCAGTAAACTGTCTTGATCAGGAATATTTTTTTCTGCTAAGATGAGCTACATAACTTGGTTGCTTAAAAAAGGGGACTTTGAAGCTACACTCTGCCTCCAAATACTTGTCATTTGACCCAGAAGGCAGTAAGTGAAAAATTCTGAACAAATAAATCAAAAAAGCTGACATGCTTTTCCAGGTGGTAAAGCTTTCGTGTGCTTGCAAAAGGCTTGATTCACACTGCTTTTGATCTCTGCAGAGTGACAGACCAACAAAAGCACTACTCGGTGATCGACAGTGTAGCAGAATGAGGCCAACAGAGTCAATACCCAAAAGAAGAGAGTAACTACTCCAGTGATTTCTCAGGTGGATGAAATGCTGGGCACTGGACATTTTCTAAAAACTACACATTAAAAATAAGTTAAAAAATGCACCTAAATACTTCAAAGACCTAATAATCCCCTTTAGTGTTTGACAAATTTCATTTCTGCTTTAGGTCTCCGTAGCAAATGGAATAGGCCAAATATTAGATAATATCTGACAACTGCTCATCTGATCAAACTATTGGCACTAAAAATGAGTGGTTCCAGCATCTTCACAGGGCAGTGGGAAGTGGTGATGGGTGGGAAATAGTTTAATTAATTATAAATAAAATCACTGGATGCACTGCAATTTCTAGTACATTATAAGTGGGAAAATATTTCTGTTCATTAAAAACCTACAGATCGTGGAGCTGAGAAGAAGCAATAACTATACACTGAATTATAGCAGAAATAATTCAAAGACTATGGAATAGCATTAGGAATGACGTAAAGAAAGCTCTCATCCAATTTTTTTACTGCTAAACTTACCAGCAAATTTAAAGAAAACAAACAAACAAATTCAACTTCCAAAACTATGAAAGATACAACAAGAAATTATCTTGTGAATAGTTCATAAAAAATCTTTATGTGATCATGTTAATCAAACTCATCAGTGGTTTTTACATTTCAACATTGCTCTCATGAAGTTGAAGGCTGCACTCTCAGGGAAACAAAGCACCAATCACCCCTTCTCAAACCTCAGCAGAGATCACTCAAGGGCTGCAGAGAAGGGGAACACAGGGGGCAGGACACAACGTTGATTGTTTACAAGATTACTTATGCAATAGATTGGGAGCTGGCCAAAGACCATCTGATAAAATATTTCAGAAAATGCATGAAAATAAGCATGCATTTATTTGAATTTTATTCTCTCCCTTCTTCCTGTATTAATGCGTAGTTTTCATCCTTATCTAATGAGAAACTCTAAAAACACTAATAGAGGAAGAATCTTTTCTATGTATACAGGCACTCATGGGTGATAATAAGACACACAGCCTGGAAACTCTTCTTTGCAGAGGACAATACGCGTCAGTCATTCTTGTTTAGCTCTATTCCAGTTTTTGGTATTATTGTGCAACCTATTTCTGTGACATAATTATACCTGTGGAGTTCCCTGAGAGCAGCATTGGGAAAATTCTATACATAACATTATCCTTTCTCTCTGGTTTCTGAAGGATGACATCACATATAAGTGAACTCCAAAGTCAATCCAATCTCCTCAAATGCAGACAAATATTGCAATAACAGAAAGACTTAGAAGACTTAGAAGTCTTAGAGGAAAAAAATAGGTTGCTACTTGTCTTTTGGTGACCATAGAAGATTGCTAAATTACTTTCCTTCATGTATTTGATGGCAAACAAATTTTTGAAGCTCTAATTTTATGTGTGCAGATTTGAAGATTCAGCTGCAGCAACCGTGACTTACCACAGGCAGTTAAAAGCAGAAAGAAAGGCAACGCACTTGAGAAGTCTTTCACAAAATAACACCTGTCATCAGCTACTGTTAACGTTCCTAATAACATCTTTTCCTTAGAGCTGTCCTGTACAAAGTAACACTGTTGGGACTTCCGTAAGAAAAGTGGTTTTAACTTGCAAAATTCCTGTTGTGAATTAGGGACATACGGGCTCTTCACCCCTCTCAGCACCAGGGGGCTCCTGGAGGTGAGAAACTGGAATCCACTGACTCCTCCGAAAAAAAAAAAAGAAAAAAAACAAAACCGTTTTAAATGTGCTGCCTGCACAAGGCCTGTGATGGTGTTTGTCTCTACCCTTCAAGAGAGGTACTCTGAGATCAGGGCTGGGCTCTGACCACTGTCCAAAGTTTCTGATCATTAAAAAAATTCACTACTGAGATGTGCAAAGCCCTTCTGTGCACACCTGAATGAATTCTCTTTCATCTTCAAATTGGACAGTTCAGAGAAATGCCACTTCTAATTAGGACTAAAATTTTCATCAAATTAATATCCTGTATGTATGATTAAGAAAAAATTTAGGGTGGTGCTGTTTGTTCCAACACATTCTCAATCCCCTTTTCTGCTTTTCACTGGTGTCTCTTCCCCACCAGTGTGTTTAGCAGGTAACACCTATTTCTAACACTGCTGATGAAAACTGCACAGCTGGTGCATGGGTGTACAATCCACACATATGCTGACAGGACTGAATGCAGAGTGAGTTAAACTATTAGCTGTCAAAGACGATTAAGAACTGTGTGCAACTTAATTCAGGCAAACCTAAAACACTGCTCTGAAAGTGCCTCAACAGGAAACAAAGTTTTAGAATAAGCTGATAAGTGGACATTATTCACAGTAAAAAACTACCAGAGTTCTGGAATAGTTTGTGAAAGGAATTTTAAAAGAGGCGATAAGGACAAATTACCACAAGGATACTTGTTTTTAAAAAAACAGAAGCAGCCCAGACAACTCTCAGATCCAGAGTGCAGCAAGCCATTTGCATAAGTAATTAACAGTTTTCATGCACAATTACCTTGTTTTTCAAAATATACTTATGATTACGATGCATTTAAGGTGAAATTTAATGCTCTGGGGACAGCCTTTGCACAGTTTAGAGCTATTAAATACCAGTTTGCTGAGATGTTAAGTGATACATTTCTTAATGGATGAATTTCACTAGAGATAAGCATTACCCTTTGTTGATGCAGCTCCAGGTTGATCAGCCCTGGAAACTGGCTACATGTAATACAGGTTAAATAATATTTCTAGAGACAAAGCCTTGGCACTGTTTCAGACAGTTTTTAAAAAAACCTACAGTTTTAATTCCTTTTGTGTGCAGGTGTGTTTTCCTTCTAAATAATAAATAAACATGAGGATGCTTTCAATCTCTATTGCTACAGTAAACCTATGGCTGAAATAATTCCCTTGACCTGTTCAAAATGTGAGTTTTGCTTCCATAAGTATTAAAGAACTAGTTTTAAACAGGTCTGCGACAGAACGGACTGGAAAAAAGAGATTTCTAGGGCAAAACACAGTCTCATAATTTCCAATACTTGGCTCAAGCATCAAACAAGTTTCCTTAAGAGAAACTACTAATGCATGCTACTCCATGCATTCCAGCACCAGCAGCACAGGCCAGACTTATCAACACTGGGGAAAAAACCAGATCTTAACACAATAAAAATATTGTTAAATAATTTTAAGCTAAACATCTTGTGCTTGGATTTTTAAAGAGCTCAGAGTATGTGTCAGATGGGGAATAATCCACAGTGATATAATGATACAGTTAAAGTGCAGTGGCCTGCCTCCACATCTCTCCTCATTAGAGCAACTTTCCTCTTAAGCTGTCCCCTCTGGTTCTCAAATGCTTTTGAAGAAAGAAAACTGAAAGTTCTTGACAGTACTATTAAGGCAAGTAACTTGTGCTTCCAACTCACTTCTCCTCGTGCCAGTAGCCTGACTCACCTCAGGATATATATGTGCACACAAGGAGAAGTGGTTTTGGTGCTCTCTTCTTCTCCAGGTACCTCCAGCCACATCCTCACAGCTTTTCCCTTCACTGCTGGCACGCCAGGTCTGTCCATGGTCTGATGAAAACTGAGGACTGAGCCAAGTGACATGGGAAGCCTCTGGGAAAGCTCTCACTCAGCCGTTTATCAGTCTCTTTGGTTGACTGCAGTGTCTCCTTGCTCTCCATGAATTTCCAGAACGCTTTTTAGTATTATGATATACCATCTATTTCTTCAATAACAGTAATGGAGATGAAGCTGAACATTGTTGATAATTTCTCTTTATTCTGTTTCTTACCTGCAAAAAGAAACCAGAAGACTGAGGTCAACACTCTTCCACTGCCTCTCCTCTGAGAGACACCAGGGGCCAGCTCTCTCCAGGGCCAAGGGAAGCCCAAACCATCTCCATCTCTTTTAGTGTGCACACAATATTTGGTCACTCATTCTGAAACCAACTGTGGCATGGGGTGCATGAGATTAGGACACATGGTGATAGAGACAACTGCCAAACCTCTCTCTCTTTGGGATCTCCACTGTACTAACACGTTACACCAGCTCCATTTTGAAGCTTAAGTTTAATTTGTCCATGGCTTTGAAAATAAACCTGATCCATAAATATGAATGAGTGGTCAAATTATACTTGTATATTTACATTGTGATTACTTGCTTACAGAAAGAAGAGTGATAGATTTCGATGAGAGGTTGGAGCTGTTCCTTCAAAACCAAGAAGGGCTTGCACCAAGGGTGCAGACAGTATTGGTTCTGTGTGGAATGCTGAAGTCAGTCATGAATTTTGATTTCTTTCTCTGCTCTCACCTGTTGAGCAGATGTCTGAGACACCACCCACTTCCTTCCTCCTTTCCTGGTTTGTCTGTTTGGATTGCAGATCCATGAAGTAAGAATGCTTTGTCCAATGCCAGTATAACACCTTATACTACACAAACCTTTTATCTGGAACCTGAAGACTCCCCGTCAGATACACCAAAATGCACAGGAGTGCAGGCTGCAGTGAAAGCTGCTTGGCATGATGGCTGAACAGATTACTGAATGCACAAAGAATGAAATGCCCAAAGCTTTAGACATCATTAGTTAATGAAGTAAACTCCTCCCCTCCAAAAGTACTGCATATAGGAATGCATAAAATAACCCTCATGTCACTACAAGGACTCCCATTCAGCTAACTGTCACAGTACTGTGCATCCTTGTAAAGCTTAAATGGTCCTTTTCCCATGAATTCAGAGAATTTTATTTTAGTTGATTATGTAATTTTAAATAATTACACACAAATAAATAAATGAAAATCAAAGAAACTGCTTGTGCTTAGAAATCCAGCTTAATTTGGCGTGCTCTGCTGCACACTCAGAATCTTTCAGGCCCTGCTTAAACCAAATGCCTCCACACTGTGCAAGTAATTTTTTAAAAAAAAACATTAAATCAAATTTGGCACTAAGTGAGGTGTGAAATTCTTAAGCTGTCTCCTAAAAAAGGAGACATTGGGTTCAGAGGGGGACTGCCATCTTGTTGCCTCCAAGCATACATGTTTATTTAGAAAATAAAACTAGCAACCAACCATCAAGTTAGGTGGAAAATCAGTGTTGTTAAAAGTTCCCCTCGCTCTCTGTAAGAGTCAGCATGCTTTTTAAACTGTTCTTTTGAAATCCACTGGTTGCATGGCTTGCACTGGTTCAGCTGAGCTATTTCTGCTTGTTCTCTTCCTGGAGCAGGCTGCTCTCCAAGGTGCCTCTGCTCACTTCTGCTGCTTTGTGGATCTCCCAGAGCCTGCTGTGCCATTTACATTGCCCACTCTGGAAACAGAAAGTCTCAAATTTTACTGATCACTCCATCCAGTTCCTTTCAGTAGCTATCATATTCCTCCAGGGCAGCTGGGCACCAGTTGTGTCCTAACCAGGACATTTAATGAGGGGACCTCAGCTCTGCAGTGCCTCTCCTCCCTATGGCCTGAACCTGCTGATTGAAGGAGGAAACGCTGAGTCCTGGGAACTCTCTTGCTCAGTTTGCCTCCCAGGGACAGGGTCTCACAGGTGTTCAACATGACAGTGATGCCAATTCTTTGAAACAAAATCATAACAGGAAATCCCCTAAACTAAACCTAAACCCAAACCCAACAATCCTAAAAAAAACCAAACAAAAATACACAGAAGGAAAGGTGTAGAAGCCTAATTTATATGACAGCACACAATTTCTTGCAGCTGTAAATGTGTAGAGCCTGAAAACCAATACATTTAAATTGTAGTATAAAAATGGAAATAACTAAGGGTTGTTGGCTATCAAATCTATAGAAATATTTGAAACCCTGAACTTGGAAACACATTATAAACACACATTTAGAATGGAGACATGAAGCAGCTCAGAAGTTTTAAAGTTCTACCACTTTCAGGACAGAACTTTTAGAGAGCTCTGAACTGCATCGATTAACATTTCAAATCCACGTGAGTCTCCCTGGAGTACGTGGAATCAGCTCTCCGTCTGTACAGTGTTTTCTACTTACAGGAGCTAAGGATCTGAGGACCAGACGCTGCGTTGGCATGTCCACTTCATTTCAGAAGGAGTCTGACAGTGTGGTATCACCTAAATAATGAAGTGCACATCTGGCGGGAGATTGCTGAGGTTGGCTAAGTTTGTACAAGGTCAGTTCATCCTCTAAGCTTCTGGATGCTGAAAATTAAGCGAGAAGTTTACATAGCAACAAGCAGAACCAACTGATTGATCTCATGTCTTGTCTCCCAAGTAGCATGTCCTTCTTTGTAAATCTGTTTTGATTGTATAAAAATAGGAGGGAGTGCTATTGTACTGTTCTGAGCTGTACTTTCTGAACCTTTTCATTAGCTAATGCAAACCTATTCTAAAATATGATGCTTTTGCAAGGAAGTAGAAAAACAGCAATGAACCACACATGGCACATCAGAAAGTGTACATATCTCTTCACAGAAGAGCTACCACACTACCCTGCTTTGCAAGTTATAGGCTGGTCTTAATAAATGGATAATCCTTGAAGCAAGTGGAAATAACACAGGATCAGGCTTTGGAAAATTTATTTAGTCAGTGCTCAGTGCCACTGATTTTCACAGAAGGACAATACCTGCTCAATATGAAATTTGAAATTCAATATATTTAAACATTGTTATCATCTTCCTTTACAGAAAATTTATCAGTTCTAATATAAAGTTTCACCTAGAAATTCTTCCTGTGTTAAAAAACCCTGACATTTTAATAAACTCAGAGTATCATAGAAATGAGACAAATATAATAAAATAAGAAATTATTTTTATCATTCAGGGGTTCACAACATTAAAAAGCAATTTAGAAAGTAAGGGTTGTATGTTGAAGGTCAGATGTCAGTGAATTTTCTCATTCTAACAATTAATCAAAGTAACCTTTCTCCAGCAGTGGTGGAAATCAGCTACCTGCATCCCATCTTGTTCCAAGTTTTCTTGTTCTCCAGTATTGGAAGATATTCACTTCAACACTTTTTGTTGTTGTTGTTGTTGCTGCTTTGGCAGCTTTTATAATTTCTCCATTTGGCAAGCACTGGTTTTTCATCAATGCTCCTGTCAGAGCATGAACCAGCACAATTCTCTGCCTCATGCAGTGACAGAGAAAGAGGAGAACTCACCCTCGGACACACAAACAAACACTGAACTATCAGCAAGAACACCACTCACTCTCTCACTGATCCTCTCCTCCTGCTAGCTTGTTCTTCTTGGAAGGGACACTGTCAAGTAGATACCAAGGGAAGGGATCAGAAAACCCCAGAGCATTTTCTGACAGACATCAGGACTTGATAGCTGAGCTCATGTGACTGGGGCTTGTCTCTTCTCACAGAGCAACTCAGTGCTTCAGCCACCACGAGCAATTCTTTCTGATCTCATTGTTTCTTGGTATCTTTTTTCTGGGGTTTTGTCCTGAAGTGACTGAAAATCTAGAAGAGAATATTAACAGAGAAATCTGTAACAAGAGAAAGGTTTTCCTTTCTTGGCTTTTCCCATTGCTCTCAGCTTTATATTGCCAACCTGTAAGACAGGTCAGCCTCCTCTGCACCCAGGATACTGTAACAGGGACTCTACTACTGTTATTCCCATTAAAAAAATGGCCTTTTCAAAGAGTTGCCTTTTCTACAGTGATCTTGGGTTTACGATTCAGTTAAAAAAAAAAAGGTAAAAAGTCCCTCTGATGACCATGCAAAGTTCTGATATGTCGGCACAAGTCCGTTATGATACCAAAGTAACATCCCACAACCCAAATACAATTTGAAGTATCTCTCATCTCTGGTGTTCTTGGTTGTTTATCCCAGAGAGCTAGTCAAGATGCTTTCTTCCTGTGTGGCTCAAGAGCTTCCTATATGCCTTACCACAAAAAAAGATGTTACTGATGTAGCATGTTACCATGGAGAGGAGCCACTTCATGCTTTGCTCTTATTCCTTTTGTTTTTCTACCTTGAAAACAAGGACACTACATTCTTCTACATGTGGAAAGCACCGAGCACATTCACTTTAGCAACACTTGTGTTTATTGTTTTTTTCCTCTCAGAGCAGCAAAGAAGGTGTACTGTCAGATCAATTTGTGCTAATATTTGATTTTCTTCTTGCCTCTAACTTGGTCAGTAGCTATTATTTTGCTTTCTTAACAGAGACAGACAACTTCTCTTGGCAAGCTCATTGCAGGTCAATCTCCACTGATGTCTTTCTTCATAGAAAAACAACTACCTGGATGGGGAAAAACAGCTACTACCACTTTTTAAAAGGCGTGTTGAAATCTGGAGATTCACACACTGCAACAAAAGTCCTGCAGCATTCCCACCTCTGAGCCCCATAGCTGTGCTATAGCCTTGTAGCCATGGGGACTCCCCTCATCTCAAGAGGGGTCTGGAAACGACTTTAGCAATGACTATCCTAAAATCATCTTTACTTTTAGGTACTTTGCACTGGCTTCTCCATAATGCAACAAGGGACCTGAAACTGAAAGATGAGGGAGTTTAACAAGTGCTTCAGCTTTTCAGGCTTCTGGACAGCACTCAACAACGCTTGGGCTGCTCTGTCCATGTCTTCCACTCAGCACATGAAAATCCCTGGGACAGGGTCTCAGCTCTGCAGAGTTACATGCCAGCAGCCACGAGGTGGCATGCAGAGCAGAACAAATTTGTCCTGTCTGCGATGGCACCAGAAAACTGCAGCAGTGCCATGAGGATCCAGAGAAGGACATCCTGGCTTTCGTCAGACACCAAGAGACCGGATCTCTACTTGACACCTTTACCTTCTGTGCCTGGCCTGCAGCTCACTGCTCATCTGTTTTGCTGGAGGCTGGGGAGTCAGAGCAGCAACACTGGGGAAAGACAGCAAAAGGGATTATCAGGGTGATGAAGCAGTACAGACCCCACTTGACGGGAACACAGGCAGAAGGGCTGCTGCCACCACAGGGGCAACCAGCCAGTCTTATTATTCCACCTATTTCCTGAAAAAGAAAAGCTGGTTGCTCATAATTCCAAAAGCTCTGCTTTGGGAAAAGCTGATTTCACACTGAAGCACAGTATGTGCACACCAGCTGGCCATGGCAAAAGGGACACTGGAGGTAATAAAAGCTATTTTTTACCCTCAATTGGACCTAAATGCAAAGAAGTAAATTATCTTCAAACTGTATCAAGATAATAAGCCCCAGTTTGTCTTGGTGTTGGGTGAGATAGCCTGTTCTAGCTGAGAATCTCTTGTGTGTAGTGTACGTGTTTAATTACTCCAAGCATTTCTTCCCATGTTGGATACTGCTACCCACAAATCTGAGAAGAAAGAAGATAGAGGCTGAGTATCCTGCACTCACAGCCTACACAAGTCAGGAGTAGGACCCAGACATCCTTACAGCCAGGCAGAGCACTTCATTGCTGGAAGAAGTAGCCATTTATATTGCCAAACATACTCACGCAGGAGCAATTATCTTTGGCAATCTGTAACAATAATTTTAAAATGTTCTCTTCAGTCTCATCATTGAATTCAAACTGTAATTTAAAAAAAAAAAAAAATCCACTGTCTTTCTCCTTTTTAGCTCTAATTATCTGGACTGCATCCACACCATGAAGCAGAATTGTGACAAAAAAGCAATGACCCCAGAGATTTCCCAGAAATTTGCTTTCTAATTGGGTTGAAAATGCCTCAGCTTTCTGCATCACATTTTGCACATAACTGGGTGTTCTATGATCACAATCTACAAAATGCAGAAATGCAATATCGTAATTATTTGTGTTGTCACACCACAGCATCTTATGATGCCAGGTGCTGTACATAATTTTAGGCAAAAAGAGCGTCACATCCTGTGCAAAAGAAATGAATATTTGAGAGTAAATCTTTAAAAACAAACAAATAAACAAACAAACAAAAACCATAAAAAATAATAAAAAACACACACACAAAAAAACCCACAACAACAACAACAAAAAAACCTGGAGAAAGAGATTAAGATAACCTTGCAGTGAATATGTGTTACACTCGAAGCATGATTCTGTAAGTCTACTGCAAAGAAAATAAGTGTCATCTGCTGATGAAAATCCAGAACTTTCCAAGCTGTTATTTACAGACATGTCAATTATGTCATATAACCTCTCTGTCCCTTATTTACTTTATATTGGTAGAATGGAAATAATACTTACTGTGTCTTCCTCATGAGGCATGATTAAATGCTCACAGTGCTTTGCAGTCGTTTGTTTGACAATATGCCTGTGAAATACCTTTGCTAAAGACACCCTGTGCTGTAGGTATAGCTGATACAGTATTGACTAAGCTCATCTTTTCTGTTTTTAAAGTTTTAGCTAAGCAATGCTTAATGAAATTTGCCAGACTAACTGCTCATGTTGTCTCTGCTGGTAGTGCAAAAGCAAACGGCTGTAAGTACGGTACCCTGAAGGCAGACATTAGGAGTTTCTCTGTTGAATCCAGCAGAGAAGTTTCTTGCATCTCCGTTGAATGCCATCACGCTGTGATTAGTTAATCATTAAGTACATAGTGCTTTTAATTAACTGCCAACTCTGCTTGGGCATCTGTTCTGAAAATCACATCCGATCATGCTTTTCCCAGTCTGTGGCTATGGAGCTCTTCAATAATACAGTTGTTGCTCCATTCTCCAGCTCTCTCTGCTACAAGACAGCTCAAGTCCAGAGTGTCCTACATGAAATGAAATATAAATGAACTATCATTCCAAGGGAATAAAAGTAAATGGGAATTAAACAAACTTATTTGCCTCAATAGGTAATAAATGCTGCTATTAAAAAGCAGATCAGGCCAATTAGCATTTTTTTTCTGGAAGAAAGAAGAGGCTGGAAGAATCATTTTATTCTTCATTATCACCACACAATTTAAACAGCTATTTGTTTTAAAAAAAAAACCAACTAACCTTCAATTGCAGAAAACAATCCTTTCTATTTTATAAGGAGCAGTGAGACTGATAATAAATACAACAGATTCTGCAAAATGTTTTGTTTGACTAGGAGTGAGAGAAACACACACAGTGCAAACATTTCCTCACAAACACTATGTTTCTCCATCTACATAGCTCAATCTCTGTTGTCTTCAAAAAGCTTTATTTAAAGTGTGATTTAAAATGAATCATAGGATGGCTTAGGTTGGAAGGGACCTCAAAGATCACCTAGTCCCAACTCCTCTGCCATGTGCAGGGACACCTTCCACTCGATCAGGTTGCTCTGAGCCCCATCCAACCTGTCCTTGAACACTTCCTGGTGTGGGGCATCCACACCAGTTCTCTGGGCATTTGGAGACAGTGTCTCACCATCCTCACAGCAAAGTAAATAATTTCTTCCAAAGATTAAATCAATATCTTTGCAGCATATACCTGATCTTGTGATAAAGTATTAGCAGTTTCAGAGAGACTAAGAATTCGCTGGGTTCCCCAGCCTAAACACGGGGTACTGGACCCCTCAAGATCTCTGCCCTACACTAGAATAGACTGACCTGCCAGGTTAACAGCAGAGCAGGTGTTTCATGACATGAGAAGTAGCTGTGCCAGTACACACCCGCTCTGTTATCTCAATCAGAGCTGGTACAGTTAAGCCAGAAAGCAACAGTCTCAGTGAATACTCTCATGGTCCAGGTGAGATGCTCAGTCACTCTGCATACATGTGTGGGCCCTGTAAAGGCTCCTGGATGCATGGTAGTGCACTAGAAAAAGCTGTAAAAGCAGTCACATGACTCATTTGACTCAAAACTTCTTGGTATAAGATGAGGTCATGTAGAAATGCACTGTACAGCACAGAGGACCACAGCAACTTCCCTTGTTGCCACTCCCACACCAGTGAGCACCATCTCAGATCCTCCATCTCAGAGCTGTTACTTATCACACATGAAACCAGCCTAGAAAAAAGAGAGAATTCATAGAGTGCCTATTATTTCTATATAGAAATATATGTCAAGGAAAAGCGCACTCTTTGTCAAGTGCTGAGAGCAGAGAAGAATAAACCATCACTAAGCTTTAAACTTGGAGTTCTTTCAGGAATAGTTAAGAAACTCCTATGAACCTTGCAACACAGAATAAAACACTACAGCTAAACAATAGCCAGCCTATAGGACAGGCACGTAACCATTGTGGCTGATGTAACAAACACTCACTGTCAGATACACATTTTACATAATAACCCTTTTTCAACAAGTTCAAAGCAATTCTACTGTTTTCTTTAAAAATTCCACCACAGATGTCAAGATGTGCCAGCACATAGAAAAGAGGTATTTCATAACAATATAAAAACATGCATTTCTTATTGTTTCCATGCTGAACTACACTGAGGGCGGCACTTTTATATATGGAGTTCAAGGTATTCCTGGGAACTTGCTGTTTTGTGATGACATCATGAGAACACTATCACTCAGGTAACAACTTGCTACTATGGCAACCACAGCTTTTACAGATGCTGAACACCAGTGAGGTTAAAAACATCATTTGGAGATTTGTTAGTGAAAAGTTTGCCAATATTTGATGCAAGAAGCAACAGAGAGTCCATTGCAGATGCACAGCACTGCGCAGTTCTCTACCCATTATTGGAAAGCTGAGAACAATCAGTTTTATCTTCCAGCCAAGGAGTTCCTGGGGTAATTGCACTTTCAGGTACATCCTGCAGATAGAAATATGCCTGAACACTAACTTTGTGATTTGTGGGCAGCTGGAGAAAAAGGACTACTGCCTCATCTGAAAGAGTCCCTAAAAATTTAGAGATTTGGACATCTAGAGTTTTAGTGCTCTCAGAGCAGAGACCACACAGACTGTGAAGATAGTCTGTTGTTATTATATGAAGGCATGTCTTTGGGAAAGTGGTTTATTTATTTTCCCCCTTGACTGTAAAGAATTGTAGAATATGAGATAAAAACATCTGGTTTTGTAAACAATCGCTATCTGTACTGAGACTACTGTCAGATGAAATCAGTCAGTTACAAAGTGTTTTAAAACTAAAAGCCACATGTTTCTGTTCTAGAACTTTATGCATTTTACTAACTGCAAACAAATCTCAGAGGTACTAGAAGGTTGTCAAATAAAAGATATCAACCTGGCCAGTAACCTGCCCTCTGCAAGACATCATACAATTTCATAACTTTAATCACAGCTTTGTTCAGCTGGCTTTGTCCACAACTTATACAGCAGAGCTTTGCAGTCAACATTCCAGTAAAATAATTTCCTGAATTATAAAGGGTCCCAAACAATCTTAAGGGTCATAACCCACCTTAAACTGAACAGAATATTAGCAGAGTATTTTTGAATTTTGCAGTAGCAAACCTCTACTCACTTTGATCCTTCCGGAGTTGTACATCTGCCAGGCTGGAGAGCTGCTTGGGGTGGCCTGGTCAACGAAGGAAGAACAAGAGCAGGAGAGGGTTGTACAGATTTATCCTTGGACTTTTTTTGGCAACATGTTACAGTGAAATTCCTGAACTAAAACTGTAGAAAAGTGGAATTTAAACATGTGTGTTAAAAATACAAAACCTAAGCTATACTGCTTATAACAAGTTTGCTGCCACATTTGAACTAACTGGTCACTGCTGGCAGTCTCAGAGGAATATCTAAAGCCAAATTATAATACTATTTGTGGGGTGGTCTCAGCAATGTGATATTAAAATGCAACAACAAGCATTGGGAGTTACTCCTGTTCTGGATCTGTATCAAAGTCATCCAGCTACAGGGCAGTGAAGACAACATGCTTTCAATACATCCACCTACTGTACTCCTACATTTTTTTTCCATATGTATCCTACTGGGCATTTTGTAGTGTTCACAACATTTCTTTTTAGTCCATGAAAATATTAAGGCCATTGCTGGTTTTCATTTCCACACGTTAACCAGCAATCCTGGATCCTATTGGCGGCAAACACTCTCTCCATGCAATTCTCCCCCATCATCTGTGAGAAAAGAGATGTGGAAGAGGCCAATTACCTTTTGGAGAGAAGAAAATTACTTGCTTATAATTGAGTTCTCTGAGCATGGTGTCCGCTATTAGAGCCACACTCATCCTCCCACCTCCCCCTGAGAGCTGGGGTTTTATTCCTATTTAAGTTCTAATTATTATAATTAGTCTGAAAAGGATTTGGGAGTTAGGGGCTATGATATGCCATATAGACCCCTTAAGGCATCTTTTTGTACTAACTCATTATGACCAGTTCTAAACCTTACCATTTAATCTAGTCACTCAGTACCCAAGGTCACAACAGCTGAGACCCCCTGAGCATCAATCCATAGAGACTCCCACCTTCAGAGAACTACAATTAAAAGGTAAATAATTCCCTTGCTGCCTTCTCTGTGAGACAATGCTATAAGTCAGAGAACGGGATCCAACCTCAGCCTAATTACTACTTCAACAATTTACTCAGTTGCAATGAAAAAGTTTGCAAACACTTTTTCATTTATCAAAACAGAAGAACAAGGCCGGCTACAGTTCATTTCAAACTGGACAGCACTCAGCCTCCCAACAGTCAAGTTATAAACTTTGTCTGTATCACCCAAACTCCAGGAAATTCTGAAAAACTACACTCCAAGAAAGTAAAATCATCATCACAACATGCAGATCATGGAAACAGTGTTCTTCACCACGCTAGTTAAATCCTTTTCTTTGTTTATTCAATCACAAAACTGTTGAATCAATACAGTACTAGTTTCAAATTATTTGAATCAGTCTCTGCTTGAAAGGATTTGAAACACTCAAAAGTTGAACTGAAGCTGAGTAAGTACACATTCTTAAAAATACCAGTACCCAAAGCTGACAGATTCCAAGTTCAAGAGATGCTGGTATTTCCTACAGGCCCAAAAACTGTAAGGCAAAATGTTTTGTCACAGGGCCAGAAGTTGGAGTCATAGACCAGAATGGTTTGGGTTGGAAGGGACCTTAAAGATCATCTTATTCCAACCTCCCTGCCATGGACACATTCCACTAGACCAGGTTGCTCAAAGGTCTGTCCAACCCAGCCTCGAACACTTCCAGAGCTGGGGCATCCACAGTGCACTGTGTCAGTACATGGAGAAGGAGACAGTTACAAATAATTCTGTTGCTGATTTTTTGGAAAGATAAGTGAATTACACCTGCAAAAATGCATCAGAAGAATGAATCCACAATTCTACCAACAAAATACACTTTACAGCACTGTAATGTTTGCTAATTGCACATGCTCTTAACCACAAGTACAAATCTCAATAGCTGCATTTAATTCTTAGTAAAACAGTGACTCTTTGAACCAGAATTTGGAAAGAGCAAGTAATAATACACACCAATCTCTAAGTAGATAAATCTATGTTTAATACAATAAAAAACGTATTGGTAAATAAACTGTCTCTAGATATGATTTTATGAGCAAATCAAAACTTGGTACATGTCATTACAAGTCTGTTACAATGTAGCATATTAAATGTCCATACTGGTTTGGTAGTACATACTGATATCACACTTAAAGACTGGACAACTCTAAATCTTTGACTGCAATGCCGAGGGGATGGTGTGTTTTGGAATTTGTTGTCATTTCCTGCTAGAATTATGAGTGCCAATTCTTCAGCTTGAAAGCAAGCTGAATCTCTGTCCTGGGATCACAGGTGCATCAGTATCAACACTGTTCCCAGCCTTACAACATCCTCCTAACCAGGCACACAATTAAGCACAGTAGGTAATCTTTGCTCTGAAGCAAGGTCCACAAAATGAATTATCTTCCTCACAGCCAACATTAGTATCACACTAGGGACCAATATGAAGGAGTTTGCACTGTTGCTGTCTGAGCTCTGTGTTTGCAGGTGACAAATAGACTTCAATTTCTAATGTTGCTGGGT